GATAATTTTTTTTTAAAAAAAAAATTCGTGGCTTTTAAATAAAGCCACGAATTTTAAAATAAAAAAAATTATGTGGGGCTTTTATTTAAGGCCCCAAAATTTTTAAGGCTCGCGAGCCTACTTTGAGGCTCGAGCCAGGCCTTAGTTGGGCTTGGCTCGCGAGCCTTAAGGCCTATGAGGAGCTTTACCTTTAGCTAATAGTTAATTGTATCTTTTGAAGGTTAGATCATGGTCAACAGTACAAGCTAATTTGATTATATAAAGATCTAAAAGATTAGTTTTCAATTAATATAAAATAGACATTAAATAATTGTTAAAACAATACTCTCAAATAATTGTCTGTGATATTATTGAATTAAGTTAAACAAGTGAAATTTAATATTATATTAATATTGAAATAGTTCAATCTATTTGATAATACTTCTATAATTTATTATCTTATCATAGTTAATTTTTAAAAGAAGAAATCAACTACATGAAAAGTCAAGGACTAATAATTCCTTCAAAAAGTTTTTGGACATCTCTTACTTTAGTAGTAGAAAAAAAAAATGAAAAATTACATCTAGTAATAGACTACTGTAAATTAAATAAAATTACAAAATCTGATATTTACCTTTATCAAAAATTTCTGATTTGTTAAATGCTCTGGTCAACTGCACTTATTTCACAACCCTTGATTTAATCTCGTAATTTTAATAAGTAATAATAGATCCTAAAAATCAAGAAAAAATTATCTTTTATACTAAATTTGAAACTTATGAGTTTACAATAATACCTTTTGAATTAATAAATACCCTTGTAATATTTCAGTGATTAATGAAATTAATGAATAATGTATTTTATAAAGTTCTTTTCAAGTTTGCCCTTGTCTATATAGATGATATAATTATATTTCACAAACTAGTGAAGATTACAAAATTCATTTAGAAAGAATTTTTAAATTATTATCAAATACTAGATTAAAACTCAATCTTAACAAATGTGATTTTTATTAAAAACATATATTATTTCTTAAATACATGATATCAAAAAATGGAATTCAACTCAACTCTACTTTCATGTAGAAAATTAAAAATTGTTCTAGACCCATTATAAAAAACTAAAGTTAGATTATTTTTAGAACTAGTTTCTTATATAGATGATTTATTAAAACTTTTCAGTAATTATATAACTTTTATATAATTTGACAAAATAAGATGAAATCTTCAGCTGAACTGAGGACTGTAAAAATACTTATGAATATTTAAAGAATTGTTTAATAACTCAATTTATAATAATTTACCTTAATTTTAATAAATACTTCAATTTTCAATAGTTAATTTCTTAATAACTTTAATTCAATTGTTATCAAATTCAATATGCATATTTTTTTTTAGGAAAAACAATTAACTTTATAATTATTCATACTTGTGCACAAAATTATTTTAAAGCTCCGAAATTACAATTTTGAAAAAAAAATCAAAATAATTTTTTATAGAAGATAAAATTATTTTACTTAAAATTCAAAAATTTTTAACTACTCAGATAAATTCTTTGATTAAAGATACACTTAACTAGATATTTTTTTATTTCTATATATAGAATAAATCTCAAAAAGACAAAATATTTCAAAAATCAAAAATCAATTTTAGGAACATGTATAAATTATTCTGTATAAAATTTTATTCACAATTGAAATTTTATTAAATGATAATTCTCAATATTAATTATTCATTTATGCAAAATCAGAATTATAAATTTAATATCAAAAATATATTCAATTTCAAAGATTAAAAAATATATAGTAACTATTGTTTTTAAATCTATTGTTCAGGAGTATACATGTCACTTAAATACCAAATTATTTTGACATTTCAGCTGTCAAAATTCAGTCTTTATAGTATTTGGAATTTGACATAATTTGGAATTTGAAATTTTAGCAATTAGTAATTTGGAATTTGAAATTTGGAATTTAGCATTTTGAATTTGGGTAACACCTATATTCAGGAGCTAAAATTTTTTAAAAACAAAAAATCAGATATTGCAGTACTTTTGTAAGTTATTATATACTTGTACTATTTTGAAATAGGTTTATGACCTAAGATTTATATATTATTTATATTTATTATTATGTAATATTATTTATAAAAACAAGTATATTAAAGAATAACCTTGCTCAAATATATTTAATCACAAATACAAATACATTAATTTCAAGTATACATGTTTTCAAAATTGATTTCTGATTTTGAAATCTTTTTAAAATTTTTAAGATATCTATTTTATAATGGAAATAAAAAAAATATTTAGTTTAATGTATTTTCAATTAGAGAATTTATTTGAATAGTTAAAAAATTTTAGATTTTAATTAAAATTAAATTATCTTCTATAAAAAATTATTTTGACATTCAGATTTCAAAATATTTTGACTTATTATGATAGCTTATTTTGTATGTAAATATAATTTTGAGTCAAGAGAAAATAATTGTTAAATTATTTTATTATATATATATTTTTTTTTTACAAATAAATAATGAATTATAAGATTTGTTACAATATAGTTAAAAAAAATACAAATCTTATCATTATATACTTGATATAATTTATAATAATTAAAATTTTTATTGTTAAAATATAAATATATAAATATATTTCTTGAATTCTAATTAATTAAATTGTATTATGTGATACTTATATAAACAAAAAATTGAAAAAATTTTTTCCATTAATAGATTTTTTCAAATAAATATATTCAAATACTATAATATTAAATTAAATTTTATTTAAGATTTTCTAAGTTCTTATTATAGAAGTTCAACACTATAACAAAACAATAAGTCTCAAAGAAATTTATAATGAAAAATAGTAAATTTTAAAGATTGACATAATGAAGAAGTATATACTAGTCTAGAAAAATTATACAAATTATATTTAGAAATAATTGATTAAAAAGAAAAAGTAGAAAAACAATCAAAGACAAAAGTAAATAAAATTTTTCAAAAATACATAATTTAAAATTAGAATAAAACAATATTATTTATATTAGTAAAATTAGCTTTGTTAAAATAATATCTACTTAATATTATTATTTATTAGCCAATATAAAATTAATTGATTTTTTTAACATAACTCAAAATTTAGAAAATAAAATACCATATTCTACCGTGAATAAGTATTACTTTTTATATATGTAGACACCAAGCCGTTTTGTATCCTGGTATTTATTTTTGGTAGAATTTTTATATTCTTAATTTTTGATTACATTCACATGATCCAAAGATCTATCAATAAAAATTATTCAGATTTTAAAATCATTTCTTTGCTTTTTATTATGCCAAAAAGACAACGTTACTCATATACTGTTCAAGAAAAATTAACAATAATTCAGTATGCAAAAAATAATAGTGTAAGAGCTGTAACGCGAAAACATAATATCGATCATAATCAAATTTCACATTGATGTCAAAAAGAAGAACTTGCATTGGCACGAGGAAAAAACAAATGTGTTGGAGCAGAAAAAAAACCTTTATATCCTGAAGCTGAAGAAAAATTAAAGAAATGGATTATTGAACTTTGACAAAATGTAATTGGAATAACATCAACAGTTATAAAAGAACAAATGAAAAAAATATTAAAAGAAGATTTTTCAGAAATTGATACAAAAGACTTTGAAGTATCTGACATGTGGTTTGGTTATTTTTTTTCTTAATATAATCTTGCTTTACACCAGAGAACTAAAATAAGCCAGAAACTACCTGATGATCTCAATTAAAAAATTATAGATTTCTATGAATTTATTATTTTATAAAGAAAAGAATACAATTATGAACTGAATCAAATAAGAAATATGGATGAAACACCAATATTTTTTGATATGGTAGGAAATACTACTATTGAAGTAAAAGGATCAAAAACAGTTGAAATTCGAAGTACAGAAAATAACAAAAATCGGTATTAAAATTTTTTTTTATTTTATAAAATTTTTATTTATTTTATGAAATTTATATTATTATTATTATTAATTTTATTTTTATAGTTTTACATGTGTTTTGACAGTTCTTGCTGATGGTACAAAACTTCCTCCAATGGTAATCTTTAAAGGAAAATGTCTCCCACCAAATTTACCATCTGAAATCATAGTAAAAATATATGAAAAAGCTTGGATGGATGAGAATATAATGAAAATATGGTTAGAAGAAATTTGGAAAAACTGATCTGGTGGATTATTAAAGAAAAAATCATTATTGGTTTTGGATTCTTTCAAAGCACATAAAACTCCACAAATAAAACTTGCATTTAAAGATGAAAATAGTAATTTAGCTGTAACTCCCGGTAGACTTACATCAATAGTACAACCATTAGATGTTTGTTTAAACAAACCTTTTAAAGATCGTCTTCGTGTAAAATGGTGTCAATGGATGGCAGTTGGAAATTTCGATTTAACCAAAGGTGGTAACATTAAAAAACCTGGTTATAATGTTATTTGTAATTGGATTTTAGAGGCATGGGATTCTATACCAAAAGAGATGGTTTTAAAAAATGTGGTTTTTCAAATTCTATGGATGGAATGGAAGATCATATGATATATGAATTTGATGGTGAGAATAATTATGAAGCAAATGAAGTACTTGTATTGCTATTTCTATTTGTTTATTAATTTCCTCTTCAGATAAATCTAGAAATAAACATTGGAAAAATACTTTATCTATAGCTTCGTTTTCATCATCTGCTTTCTGTAATATATTTAACAAATCAAGTTCTTTACCTTTTGCAAACCAGGTTGAAAAAGCATATTCAGCTCCATCTACTCTAAACATATCTTTGGACATTTGAATTCTTTTTGCCATACTTCATAATGTTCTTTATTAATAGGAAATCGAACTGGCCATGGTACTTCTTTATTCAAATCTAAAAATCTACTTTCACGGTAAGCTTGAGTTCGTGAACTTGGACCAGCTTCAGTATCTGTTACTTGAGTTATAGTATATTTATTATGAGATAATTGCAAAAGAGCTTGGCATGGTTTAGTTCGTGTTAAATCCATATGTTTTTCAAGATCTCTTGTTTTCCCAGTTCTGGGACTATATTCATCCTGGACATTTTCCTACCATAGTTTCTGGTGTTTTTTATTTTATACTTTATACCAGATTTTTATTTCAAATAAAAAATATCTATCCCAATTATTTACTATCATGTCAGAAAAATATATCTGTAATCATTTAAATAACTCTGGTGATATTTATGATCGTAGTTACCGACTTTCTGAAGGATGTTATGAACATTGGAGATCTAAAAAACGTATTCCCTGTAAAGTTTGTAGTAAGCCTACTGCTTCTGCACCTGGCCTTGTAAAAATCATGCTGGTAATTATTATACTTCACAATTTTATTTTCGATTACTTTCACAAAATAAATATAAACTTAGTATAAATCAAAGTACGAAGCAAATGCGTAAAAGTTTAATGTATTGCGGAGCGAAACTCTGCCTCTAAAAAAATTGTAAAAATTCCAAAGTATTATTATAGTTCTTATTATTAAAAGGAGAAAAAAAAATTAAGAAGACATTATTTTGCTGTATTATTATCTCATACGCGTTAAATGTAAACTCGAAGTATGAAGCAAATGAAAACTTGACGTAGTTAATACACTTAAAAAAATTAAAATATCTCATACGATCCTAAAAGTAAAAAATCATGGTGGTGGTATGTCAAATATACGAAGTCTGTTCGTACTCATGGTGATAAGGAAGGAATAGAAGGAAATATTAAACGTCCTTACTATATTAAATGACCTTACTATAAATCGAAATAAATTGTATCTGCATTTTATTACTATATTTTATTACTATGCAATAAAGATTAATGCGATGCATATTTATTTACTATTTTTTTTAGGCATTTAAGTGTCCTCACTTTGTGAATGATATCAATGAGGGATTTAAATTAATCCATGTCTATCTAAAATAATAACATATCTTCTAACACTTTTCCAAAGCTTTACTCGCTTAAAAGAAAACTCTCTAAAGAAGAGCGTGATAGAATTATTGATTCATTAGCAAAGTATTTCAATGGACAGGATCCAGTGTTCCATTTGAGGAAATAATCAAAATTCGTCCTGAAGACTTAGCTCCAAAACAGCTAAATTCTTCGTATAAGAAAATATTAACTGATGACTATCTCAAATGACACGTTAAATTAAGGAATTACTAATTTTAACAGATAAAGTTCGTTCTAGCTTATATAAAAAATATACAAAAGAGACCAGAAAAGATCCATGGGAAAAAGTACAACTTTATGACTCGACGAGTCGCCTGATATGTATATATGCATTTATTACAAATAATTTTTATTTAGCTAACATGCAAATAAAACATTAGATAAATTATGTGAACCGCGCATTATATCTTCTATGTAACCAAAATCATGTGATCATAATCATAAATTATTTTTCTTGATTATCTGTTATTTTTTTTTTGTTATATAGAAATGATACAGCTTAAAACTGTATTAAATGTTATTGATAATTCCGGTGCACTTCTCGCTGAGTGTATTCGTGTGGCTCATGGTGGAAGATATGGTGGTATAGGTAGGTAATAATAAATTTTGAATAATTTTTTTTATTTTTATTTACATTTAATTTTTTTTTTTTTTTTTTTTACATTAAATTTACTACATTATCATTTTATAAATTTTTATTTTTATAAATTTTTATAAATTTAATGTGGTTTTAATAGGTGACCCAATTACAGTAGTAGTTAAAAAAGCTCGTCCAATCACAAACATCCCAGGTCAAACATCAGGTTCTAGTGGTAATCCTGCAACAAAATTAGCAATTCGTAGAGGAGAAGTTAAAAAAGCATTGATTGTACGTACACGTAAAGAAACCAGACGTCCGGATGGTAGATATATTAGATTTGATGATAATGCATGCATACTTTTAAATAATAAATTGGAACCTTTGGGAACAAGAATACTTGGTGTGGTCGGTTCTGAATTAAGAGGGAAGAAATGGGGAAAAGTTGTAAGTTTAGCCCCTAGAGTTATTTGATTAATTTATATTATCCATATGTAAATCAATTTTTTAAAAAATAAAATAAATATACATTATCTTTTACTTTCTTTTTTATTTTATATATTTAAAATAATAATATTTTTATCATGTAATTAATTAATTTCTCTAAAATTTACAAATATTTATTTCTTTCAATTATCATATTTTTTCATATTCTTTTGTTTGATTATCTAATATATATACATTCAAATAATATTAATTTTTTATATTCTAAATACAATAATCTTCATTCTATATAAATAAAATATTTATCTAGTTAAACTATTTAAAATTCTTTATAAATTCAAATTTTATATTAATTTTAATTATATACATTCAAAAAATTTTTTTTTGATTATTTACTTTAAAAAAAGGGTATTTCTTTAAAAAAAAAAAAAAAATGAAAAATTCCTTAACAAAAAAAGTCTTAGAACCGTAAACAGTTTAAAAAATCTATTGATTTTTTACTTAAAGTTGTAAAATACCCAGTCAATCAATTCAATCAATTTATTCAAATTTGATTCTTTGTTCGGCGCACCCACTTCTAAATGCGAAATCCAATTTATCGGCAGTTAGAGGGATGAATGTCCCTGGTTCATTAAATGTTTTAGCATTTGAAATTATAATCTCCATGTCATGTTCTACACCCTAATATTTATAAAGAAAAGATAATTATAAAAGATTAAGAATTAATAAATCTAATGAAAATTAATAAAAATAAATATATATAAAGTTTATGAAATACATACTCTAGGATGACGATAGAATTTGTTAGTAAGTCGGGACTTAATCATCCCTAAACTAACTGGATATTGGATCCGGTTTAAATAATCTGGAACTTTATGGAATTCAACATCCTCCGCAAATACCTCATAATGTTCATTACTATGTAATTCATTAATTATTTCGAATAATTTTTGACGAGCTATAATTAAAGAAATAAAATTATTTAATATTTTGAAACCATGATAAAAATAAATTATGGTTATTAGTTAGTAAATAAAATGACAACTTACTTTCTTCAGGCATTGATGATGTAGGAAGGTCCTCCGCATTCTCTCTTTTCAACTCCCATGGATAAAATTCATCCTCTCCATCAGAATTCTCCCATTGTATATTAAATGATGGTATTGACCAAAGTGCTCCATCATTTCGTGATGCTATTTTCCCCGGATAAAATCCATTCATATAGTATGCTTGAATTTTATCTCCAACTTGTAAGTTTTGGTTTACTCCCGATGCAAACTTTTCATAAGGAACAATAAATTCCCTCAGGCCTTTTAAATCAACGTATGGAATCAGGAATTTTGATGGACGTCTTCGGAAATCTGGTGATGGCGGATATCTCGATCCTCTCCATTTTGGTTCAACAACTCTAGCCTGAATAATACAATACAATGGTATTTTTTCTTTACCATTTATTTCATCTAAAACCGCATCTGGGTAATCATTGACAATTGAAACTGAGATCTTTTTCTTTGCTTCGACCCTTTTTATTGCCTCATTGTATTCATTCTTACTAACTTTTGAGCGTTTGTTTTCATACCACCTAACTACATCAATTTGGAAAAATGCGACGTTTGAAAGATCAAATTTTTTACAATATGGAAAGTCTCCCAAATGTCCCACAACATCCGATAGCAATTCAGTATTTTCATAATTATTTGATATATAGGTATTAAAGGCTTTATGTCCTCTCTTGAAGTAAACAAAGAAATCCCCGGGCTGAGGAATATAGGTAAAATTTGGATTCACACTTTTTATCCATTCAGGGCGTGTGTCTGCTTCTCTTATTTCTTCACTATTATAATCTCGGTTATCTAAATCAATTTCTATATTATCCTCATGAATTTCGATATTCTTATTTATCTTATTTCTGCGAGCTCTTCTTCCACGTGTATCACGTGTATTGGCACCCAATGAAGTAGATTGCGTATTATTGCTACCAGATATCTCGTATGTAGAAATATGTGAATTTCTATTTTCTTCTGAATTGTTATCAAGTGGTGTTATTATTCCAGAAAACATATCCTCTTCGTTGTAGTTAGGTCGTTTTCTTTTTGCTTTTCGGTCAGGTCGGCCTTTAATACTACCTGTATCGCTTGTCGCATTCTGATCATCATTTTCAACATAATCATCTTCATCATCGGATCTCATTCGTTTTAGTCCACGATTACCACTATAATGACTAGAAACATCGGATTTATGGGAATTATTTAGTTCCTCGAACGGCGCAGATTCTTCATCATCATGAATAGATGGTTCTGGGGTAGATTCTTCGGGAATTTTTCTTTTATTTCGAACTTTCACTCGGAGGGTCGGTGCATATTCGCTACTACTATCATCAACAATCACTGCGTTTTTATTCTCAAGATCCTCTATTATAGAATCTACTTCGGAATTTGATTCAACCTCACTACGACCACTACTATCTTCATCTGATGATGAAAAAGCAGGATCATAATTTTGATCCCTCTCTTCATCATCTGGTATTATAGGTATTTCGGTGGTTAAGGGATCAATTTCGTCTTCATCCTCCTCTTCGGATAATACGAGCTTGCGTTGAAGCTTGCGTATTTCTTTAAGGTCCTCCACGCGGTTTCGAATAATTTTTCCCTCTTTTAGCTTAGTCGCTTCTTCAATCATTACATTTAATCGTCTTCGATCCATTGATCGAATTTTTTCTGAGGGCAAAGGATTTGAAATTTTTTCAACAAAATTTTCGTCAAGTTGATAACTGTATGTACTGCCTGCCCAACTTATTACTTCTCTTTGATTGGAGGAACAGTTTCCAAGAACCCACGCATCGTTATATATCATTACTCCTGGATTACTGTCGGAAGTTATAATACCTACTTCGGCATTTTGGTCCTCTGTCGCAAACTTCTGGCCATATTTCTCACGTATTTTCTGACGACTATACGTCTCCGTTTGAACACCAATCAAATGACATTTTCCACCATTATCAGTTACAGCGAACATTGAACCTATTAAAAAACCAATTTAAAATAGAAAATCATATATACATTTGTGAAAACAGTTTTAATTAAAAAAAATAAAATAAAAACAAACGTACCATTATTACGCCATTTTCCGTCATAATACTCAAATACCATATTTCCACCATCATTATTGTAAAGAGCATTATCACTCTCTATATTTAAGTCGGTATGATTCCACGCTATTTTGATAAAATCGATAAATTACGTTAGTAAAAAAAAAAAGATTTAAATAATGAATTCAATAAAAAATTAAATAAGTATTTACACTTTAACTCTATTTTATTGCCGACATCCCACAATACGATGCGATCGTCATATCCAGCAGACATAAAAAGCCTTGAATCACAAGGATGGGCCTCCAAGACATAAAATTTGCCATTGTGAGCTTTATAATGTCGAACTATCTCTCCAGAGGCACTTTCAAATACATAAATTTCTCCATTGGCATGACCAGAAATAACATAATTGTCATCGCAACTCCACTTGATGGTTGTGAGAGCTTCACCGTTTATAAGCACCTTTGATATCCAAGTCTTTTCATTAATTTCATATTCCCATAATATCACTTTACCATCATCTGACCCTGAGATAAGTCGATCACCATTGTGTGCGAATTCGAGAGAATGAACTTTGTTATTATGACCTGCCAAATCTGCTATATGAATAGGAAGAAAGAATCGTTGTTTTGCTATGTCTAGGATAGTTGACTTTAATCCATTTACTTCCTTTCTGTTAGAGGTTCTTTTTTCCCCTTTATCAATTATAATTTCTGTCGGTGAACATGAATCATAGTCCGTCTCTCCTTCTTCTGTAAGTTTTAAAATTTCATTTTCCAAAGCGATTTGGCCAGTGTCTGGTGTAGTTCGGTTTTTATTATTCGAACTGTAATTATGGTTTAAATTGTTATTATGAGTGACACTTCCATCTTCTAAATCGGAGGGATAATTTTCACAACTAGGTGCAAGACCGAAATTGATCTCTGTCTGTTTGGTGACATCAATGTTCTCCCCAAATTCATAAAAACCTCTAATTTCTTGAGGATCTCCTAGATCAGAGCTTTCTTGATCAACATTCATATAATAATTGTCTAATGGCTTCGTAATGTCTTGATCAATGTTCATGTCAACTTGTTTGTCATTACATTCACCATTACCGATCCAGTCCCTAGAATCAAATGAAGCTTGGTTATTATCTTCACCATCACCAAGCCAATCCCTAGGATCGAATGGATTTGGAATATCTTCATCATCACCCAGTTCAATTAGATAATCAGATTTCCTATCTGGATTATCTAGATCAATACCTTCATTATTATCATTATCATCATAGTCAGAAACTCTACCCAAGTTATCTGAACCAAAAATATCATTGTCTTCGTAATTATCTTCATCATTATCATCACGACGGGGAATATTCGGATTAGGGCAATCGGCATCAACATCCATGTAGTCATCATCGTCCATTTTGGTCAAAGCCGTTTCTCTTTTCGTGGCATCATGATTTTTATCAAACTCGAAGTCGCTGTCATAGTTTTCACCCTCTTTGCGTTGGCTCCGGAATAAACGACATAATCGAGATTTCATCGATCGTGAGAGATGAACTTTTTCTTGTTGTACTGGGGCGTTTAAAGTCTCCAAACCATTATCACTAGATATACTAGATAAGTCTGCGTTACTTTTATTCCTCTTGGATTTTATGTTTTTACGCTTCGGTTTTGATTTTGGGATAGGATCTTTATACGCTTTGAGATATTCTGTCAAATCGAATTTATAAAGTTCATCTCTGATCTGCTGCTGTAATACCTTATCCTCAGTATATGACGCAAGATAATCTTCATCAGTTGATCCTCCGAAGTGGGTTTCGTCTCCCATTGTTGTAAAAATACGAATCACTCCATCATTTCCCCCAATAGCGAACTTTGTACCAGTGTAGTTAAAAGACGAACTTATGAGTTTCGTCCTTCTTTTGGCGATTAATTGTTTATCTTTAATTGTTATCGCGTTGTGAAATTTAATTGGGTCTCTTTCATGTTTAGCGACATATAAATTCGCTGATTTACAGGTTGCAATTATGTACTTGTTTTCGGCTATTGGGGTCGGCGAAAATAATATTGATGTGGGAACGGAATCCTTTAAAAAAAAAAGAAATGTTAATATTATTTATAAAAATATTAATTTTCCAAATATTAATAAGATATTATAACAGTTACTTACAACTTGAAAGTGCGTTACTTTCGTATAATTTTGTATATTGAATATGCAAACATTGTAATCCCCACATGCAACAGCCAGCAGATCGTTTTCTTTATTTATTATCATGTCAACGATTCCTCCGTAGAGGGCACGTAACGTATGTATAAGTATACCGTTTTCCGTTGACCATACCTTTATCTTATTATCTTCATTTGCAGTAAAAATCCGTTCTCCTGAATGGTCAAAGAGAACGCTGTACGTCGAGCTTGTATGACAACCTTCAAGTGTTATTAATTTCCTAAAGTTTTTATAAACGATGTCGAGTGATCTCTTTTTGTGACCACATATCTCTTGTACTATCGTTGTGAGAACTTTAAATATGAAATCATAAATTCGTTAATTTGAGTTTAACAATAAAAATTTCTATATGAATAAATGTAATAATTATTCCTCACCTGGCTTGTCATGACTGGTCACATTCCTTCTTGGTGCAAGTGAACAGTCGTCGTATATTGAGTTGCTGTTTCTAACACCAGGCGGTATCAGATCGGCCATATAGGACCGTGAACATTCTGTAAGTGTCATCTGGAATAATAAAATTTAGTAATATGCCAATCAAAACATTTAGATCTGATAAAAAAATCAATCTTTATAATCACCATTTCGTCTCCTGATTGTAAAACCCATCCACCGTCGTAATTATATCGTTTTGGTAATAATTCAGGATGTTCATTAACATCCTTTATTAGTGATTTATATGACCTTTCTGTTTGAGGGTTACTCTTCAATATATGTAACGTTTTGAATAGAAGGTCTAACGATTGCATAACATCAAAACGTTAATATTAACCCAATCCACAATACGTAACAATAAAGTTTTCAATTAAAATATAATTATTTAGACATCTTGTTCAATATATTATTATAGGTTACACGCTCTAAATAAATCAACCTTATGTTTTATTTTTTTTTTACCTTGTTCGTAGTTTATTTCATATGTTTCATTTTGAACGACCGGCTTTTCTTCTTCAATCACCTCGGCAAGCTCTTCTACCTCCTTTACTGTAAAATCCATTTTAAGGGGGTCCACTTGTTCGATTCTTTTGACCTTCGTTCTTTTTGTATTTTTATTAACATTATCTGAGTCTGTGCTGGACCTCAGTGATGAGTATTCTTCCGAGGGAGATTCGCTTTCTGGTTCGTAAAGATCGCCGTTACTTGTAATCGAAGATTCTTTTGTTGAAGGCTCAAATTGCGAACTCATAGTCAAAAGTTATTAATTTTTATGCTAAGTTTAATAAAGTTTAGTGAAATGTAGAAATAAAAAAAAATTTTTAGTTGAGATAATATAAACACACACACACATGACATGACATAATGATTTGTCTAGATTATCACATGTTCTAATAAAGCATCTATTGGACGTTCAATTAAATAAGGTTAGGATCACGTTTTTATTGACGGTTGATCAAACGAATATCTATAAAGGTAATTAAGAGAAATATAAAGATGAATTTTAAAAATTAAAAATGAAAATAAAAACAGTAAATTAAAATATAAAAATGGGTAATTAAAACTTATATTATTAACCTTATAAAAAATTTGTTTTAATTATGGAGTTATATTCAAAATCATATAAATATTCTTGAAAACTTCGTAATGCGCATTTTTTTTTTAGGAAAATTAAAACTGACACAATATACTGTCTAACTTACAAGAGACATGACTGCGACCTATCACCTGATAACGACAATTACCATCATGACCTATCCAAGAAAACAATTTAAATATCTAAAATAAGAAAATAAGATAAACTAGATTTTAAAACCATATGTATGTATATTCTACCTAATTACTGTAAATATGTGTATATATGAAACTATATTAAACCCAAAAAAAGCAATTACTTTAAATAATTTAAAATGAAATATTGTAAGAGAAAATAATATAAAATTTTGAATCAAGGCATATTTTTAAATTTTTCCCATACATTAGATGAAAAAGTTCATGTGTTGTATTGTATTAATTTTTATATTTTATACTTATATGACTGTATGAATTTATTATTTCAAAAAATTTTTTTTTCTAAATTATTTCCTTCCATAATAAAAGTAATAGAATAATTTATAATTATTTATAATTATTTATAGAGATACATTAAAAGCACAAATGTTATTTATAAGTAAAAAAAAGAATTTTCTATGTGAATTATTAAATATTTCAGGTTTCATTTTAAAAAAATTTAAAGGTGAAAAGGACAAAATTGTTAATGTTAATTCTACTCTGTATAATTACTATTGTTAATTCTTGTTGTTACTTTTTACGTTACTCACTTAATTGTATATTATGTGAATTTGTAATGAAATTTGTTATTTTGAAAATAATATAATAATTTGTCTTATTACTTTATGGATTGGTATTTTTTCCGAGATTTCATAGTCACGTGTGAAAAGTATAAATTAAGAGCAAAAAATAACAATGTACATGTAATGCTTTTCATTCTTTTAATTAATTAATTCATAATTTAAATAATGACTTTAAGTTTACCTAACGAGATTGTCTTGGAAATACTTTACTATACGTATGAAGACCGAAGGTAAATGACCTTTTAACTAAATTTAGTTATTAATTACTCTAATTATTTTTCTTTCGTAAAAAGATTTAAAGATTTATTCAAGATTCGAAGAACATGTAAACAATGGTCGGAATTAATACCTGTAGTTGCAAAAGATAAACTTTTAGAAGAATTTTCAGAGCAAAAATCACATTTTGTAAGTTGATGAATAATTTTATTTCGATTAATTAAAAATATTTAAAGAAATGATTAAAAAATAATTTTATTTGAATATAACATTTGTTATTAATCTTATTCTATTAAATAAATAATATATAAATATATGTACGTATTATATATATATATATATATATATATTAGTTAACGAATTGTAATTACAACCAGATAATTTTTAATTCATCTAATTTAACTTATGATGATAAAAACAAAGTTATTAAATTAGATTTCGCTCAATCACCAGAATTTGAAGTCATGCATATATCATGTACACCAATTTATATATGGATTGAATTAGATATTTATAATGGTCAAAGATATGGAGATGTGCTAAGTTTAAATTTACGATGGGAAGACATAGAAAATATAGAAGGAAAAGAATTTACAAGTCGTGAAAGTGAATTTGTTGTTTGTTTGACAAGAAGTGATGCGTATGAAGAAAGAGAAGAAATGAGTGAAAAATATGTGAAATATTTGAGAATTTCATATTTGAAAATTGATGCATTTAAATTATTTAAGCACCTGGAGACTCAAAAAACGGGATCTAATTTTTCTGGCCAGAATCTCTTTGGTGAAAAGATCGAAAAATAAAAAAATTACTCGAAGTATTAAAAGTTATATTTATAGTTTTATAAATATTTTCCATTAATGCATAAATATTTATATTTAAATATTGCAAAATATATATATATATATATAAATATATTATATAAAGAATATTTCTTGTAAGGAATTTCTGTTTATTCAATATGTATATAAACACGAACTGTATTTTCTATTGGAAAATGTAGCTTGCAGTATCACAAGGCTAGCGAAGACTATGTTATATGCCTCATTTTGAGTGTGATAAATTGTGATCTTATTTATTTAGATCTTTTAAACATTACTATTTTTTATATTTTGCTTTTCATTTTATTCAGTTATAAATGGATTCTAAATAATCAAGTAATATTTATAATATTTATTTATTTCTTTTTATTTCTGAAATTAATTAATTAGAACTTTAATTTAATGAACAATTAATTTCCAAATATTCACGTGTTCAACGAGATTTATTTGATAAATTGGGTCATACATGTGGATCAATATTCTATAAATAGCTTTTCACTTTTCACATTCCAATTTTTAACAAAATTTTCATCTTTCTTTTTTGAAACTTTATTTGGTATATCAATATTTTATGCTTTTTTTTTTAATATAAAATATTCACATAATGGCGACAAAAAATTTACCGAATGAAGTTGTTTCTAATATTCTTCGAAATGTGATAAAAGTTTCTGGGTAATTTTTTCATTTTATTTTTATTTCATGTATTTGATTTTTTTTTTTTGATGTTTGATTATTTATAGATTAAACTCTTGATATTAACTATATAATTTTTCAATCAATTATTTTAATAATAATTTTATGAAATAGATTTAAAACTCTTTTTAAGGTTCGTCATTTGTGTAAACAATGGAATGCATTAGTGCCAGTGGTTATACAGGATGAACTTTCTAAAGTGGATGGAAAAGGATGGTCCCTATTGGTAGATAATCACTTAATCCCATTTCCCATGTTATATAATACAAAATAAATATTTATTATTATTATTATTATTATTATTATTATTCATATTTAGGCTGCTTATTCCGATAACAAGTTAAAATGGAACTATTTAAATCCTTTTCAATTGACATATAACGATAAAACTAAAATTATCCTTGGTGAATTTCAAGACCTCCCTTCAATTCCTATTAAGCCTTATGTTTGTTTCGCTTTGGTGTTTGATCACCAAAAAACATCGAAAAAACTCAAATATAAAGACTTTTGGGGTCTTCCTTGGCCACAGACTAGTAATAAACAAAGTGAAATTTGGTATGAAAAAGAAGGAAATGGTGTATGTTTTCGTAGAGAGTCCGATGATTTAAATGTTCAAGTAGTTGGGCTAAAGATTGATGCGATAAAGTTTTTAGAATATCTACAGCAATTTGTTTAAACTGCTTAAATATTTAAGCTGTTGAAAAAAAAAAAAAAAAAAAAAAACTGATAGGATATTTAAATCGATCGGAATTATACGATGGTGATTTTAATAGGAATCAATAAAAATTATGTAAAATAAGGAATGAAAAAAAAAAATCTTGGGATTTTCGTTTTTTTTTTAGAAAGTAAAATTTGAGAAATTTGAGACTTGATGATTTAATGTTGGAATTAAAACAAAGATCAAACACAGTCATTCTTGGATTATAATTATTATATAAATTGTAATTATAAATAGATTCTATTGAATCTTATTTAACTTTGTTGATGGTAAATATTTAAAAAAAAAAAAAGAAAGATAGAAAGGAAAAAAAATATCAGCTAAATTTGACTATACATAATATAAATAGTGAAGAGAAAAAAGTATATCTAATCTCGAGAGGAATTTCAGATGTTGTTCTTATAATCACCTTTTTTTTCTTTGTCATATACTATTTTATTGTAAACAATAAGGATTTATTTAGATCTAATAATAACAACAAGAGAGCATATATTTTCTTTTATAGAATTTTTAGAATTTTAGAATTCTCTAAATTAATGAATGTGTATTACTAAAATTTGTCTTGATGGATTGCCGCAACATTCTTTGTCTGGATTCAACTGGTTATAACCTGTTGCCAATATCTTTAAATCTCAAGAAACCTTATCTTTCAACAAAAGAAAAGAAATCCCTTGTCCAACTAAAAAAAGACTTTTAATAGCATTGAAATGTTCTCGTGAAAATTATCTCTTACTAATTAATAATAAAATTCCATTTTTTCAAAACGAATTAACATGAATCAAGCAAGCACAATAAGTGTATTGTTTTTATTATACTTTTGTGAAAAGATAAATAAATAATAATAATAATAATAAACAAAGGGCCAATAAATTTTTATTACGATCTCATGTCATATAAATTAAATAAAAACCAATAATAAACTTAAACCAACAATTTAAATAATAATAATAATGAAATATTACTGGAAACGGATTTTTAGTTATGTAATGCAATTAGGTGATAATGTATGCTTGTTTATTTTTTTTTTTTTGAGATGAAATATTACTAAATTAGGTGAAATGAAATATTGCTTTATTTAGAAGAGAACTTGATATAATGACAATTAGCCTACTTATCTGTATTGTAATTTCTTCGTAATCTGTTTTAACCTTATTCATTTTTAAATAAAATTCGTATTGTTAAATTCTAATAAAAGAATAGTTCATAATGTTCATACACTATTTCAATAATTATTAGCCGCAGTGATATAGTATGATGTACATATTATATATATCATATAGATGATACACAGTGGCCACATGGCAGAGGCGTTTGTATGGCAGTTTTTTTGTGATCCCTTTTACAGATCTTTTATTAAATGAACTAATATAATATAATTAAAACTCTCCTTAAATGTTAGTTGATACAGGATGACTAATACCGGATATACAACGTGTTACTTTTTTTTTTCTTTTCTTTGAGTTACGGATGATTCTAATATTTTTGCAAAGCATTACTCTTTTGTATAGTTACAAGATCGTCCGTTATTGTTTATCTTTTGTAATACTTATAATGTTTGCCACGTTGTTTGAAGTTTTTAACCTAACTTATAATCAATAAAAATATGAGTCAAGGTATATACGTTTTCCTGCCAAGGTCGTTCAATCGTTCAAATTTGGTATTTTTAGTAATTTTTAGTGTAAGGACAAAGAAATCCTTTATTTCAATGAACGCATGTACCATCAAACTTACATCAATTTACATGCTTGTACATCAAATAAAATTAAGGATTTTTACTACGCCCTATCCACTAAATGAAGAAGAAAAGAGATTTTAAATCTTTCGATTTAAAAAACAGAATAAATAAAATGTTCGAGCATTTTACTCTTGCCATCCAAAAGTCGGTACTGATTTTTTTTTTTTTTCCTTAAACTTTGATGAACAGAAAGTATCATTTTAGATAATATCCAAACCTTGCGTCTTTCATTTCTAAAATTGTAAAGTTTATAGTTTATTTTAGTGTATTTTATGTGTGACTTCATTATATACAAGAAAATCACATTGTTCTATTTAATCGTATCCCTTATTGTTGTTTCCAAACGACAACCGTTCAAAAGTAAAAATAAGTAAAAATGAATAATAGTAAAAATTTTAATGGTGATCAGATGTTTGTTAATCCAAGAATTACGAAGACTTAATTTTCTTGTGTATGAAAATTTGAAAGATTCTTATTTGATTCCTTATTATAGTATTTAGTCTTGATATAGAATTAAAATCTTAGATGAAATGCTGCGCATAATAAATAAGGTTTTCTCTTGTACCATTTTTTTTTTATCCCTAAAAATCTTTTAAAACAAGAAATAATATTTTCCTTGTTGAAATAAAAAAAAATAAATAAAAATAAAAACATTTTATTCGTAATGATATTCAAGTGAACTAAAATAGCACAACGGATTAATTTGGCGCGGAATCCGAGATCCGATTACGTTCTTGTGTAGAAAATCAAAATTTTTTTGAAAACTTCTTCTATCTACTAGACGATACTAGACGATATTTATTTTACTGTGTAATAAAAAGGATGACCGTTGTGATGCTGATTATTTTTTTTTGAACCAATATAAAAGAATCGACTTTCCATGAAAATGCAATAATAAAAAACAAAAAACAATCTTAAAATTTGTAAATGAAATGTCCTCTTTAATTGTGCATTGTCCTACACTTAAAATTAAAAATTTATCGGATTTTTGAATGGTTGTTGAAATTAGCCGCAGCTGAGTGGATTATATAAATAAAACAGAAACTCCACTCATCTTTTAATACAAACCCTTACGGCTGCGCCGCATTTTAGATGACCGCAAACAACGTTCACCAAAAGGGCGTTGATGAGACGGCGAGATTATTAGGTGGAAATTTTGATGATAATGATAACAAAAGTCTTCATGACAACACATATTATCATTCACAGCCACTACCAACATCCACTATTTCATTTTTACCGCTTCCGCTCCCACAACAACCAAAAGAATTTGTAGCATTTTTATTATTAAACACTGAATTTCCTTCTTATCATGAAGAAATAAAGTGGCAAGAAGATGCTACGAGAATAAATTCAATAGCATACTTTATTTATCAAAAACAATATATCGATTATCTTGAGCAGCAAAAGATAAAAATAACAACAAATATTCAGGAAACAATAAAAACAGAGTGGGAAAAAGAAAGCAAAAGTGCAAAAGATAGTTATTTTGCTTTTTCATCCGAATGTGAGATTTTGTATTTAAAGGCAAAGAATGAACGCAAATCTGTCCAATTACAAGCTTTGCAGGAAGATAGGCAGTTACAGAGTCAAGGAATATTTATAGGAGGAGAACAAATGATAGGAAAATACGAAGATTTTCATTTGTTTTCAAACCATAATCAATTATGTATGTATTAAATTAATTATTAATTATTAATTAATTATCACATATTTATTTACAAACAAATTATTTATTTTTTAATTTATTATTTTTAATTAATTATTTTTTTAATTATTATTTTTTTAATTATTATTTTAATTTTATAGCGGCCTGTCCCACATCCAGTAGTCCTCAATTTAACTCAATAATAGATAATTTTTTTCCCCCCATGTCATCGATACAACCTAGACCACCTCCAAGAAATCATTATGACGATGACACATTACCTGAGGATATGGGTCCTTCCTTATTTTAGGCCCTTCATATTATATATTATATATCTATAAAGATACCTGCATCAATTCTTCATAAGGATTCGATTCAATTGCAAATCCTTCGTCGGGTATCATTAATATTTATATATTTTTCTATTAATTTATTAATCTTATCCTATCATAAAAAAGAAAAAAAAAATCGGATCGATATATTGTTTTCAGAAAAAAGGACAGTTAAATCATAAAGGATTGATTAATACTCTCCTTTCGTTGTATGTATATGAATAGTGAAAGTCCAAAGGACATTATAATCCGCCATTTTATCGTAAGACAAAAGTACTTTTGCGCAACAAAGACTATAAAAAGAAGATAAAGGCGTCAACCCATTCGTTATTATTCCGGCGTACTTCGTTTTTTCTTATTATTTTCCTCTCAAGTAAATTCGTTAATATAGTTAGTTATTAAAGCTAATTATTAGTTAGTTAGTTAGTTAATTAGTTGTGTTACTTTTAAGATTTTTGAACTTCGATATAAGCGTCTAATTTCTTCTAATTTGGATCTTTGGATCATTATTTTCAAAAGGTGATTGAAAGCGCAAAAGAAACTAATGATATATATTTCGCACGGTCAGCCGTCCCCTTTAGGAATCATATTTCGCCACGTATTATTATATCAAATCATAGCGAATTATCGTAGCCGACAACGTTTAATTTTGCCACGTAGCCGATTTATGATACCTTATTATTCCTTTATTTGGATAAGAATTGCTGGGACAAATGTAACAAAATGTAGAGTAACTCTAAGTTATAGTTAAGATCTTTATGTAAATGTATATTTTTTTATGTAAAATTAGTTTTTATACCAGTAATTCTATGAAATAATATGTTTTTTAAATAAAATTGTCACTCCTTTATCCCTCCCTTTATTAGCACATAACATATATTTTTTTATGAATATATGCACAATGTATTCGTGATGACGTGTATCCATAAATGTCATGGTGTCGTGATTCGTGGTGTCGTGATTTGCTAAATCGTAATATTCGTTGTACAGTACTTCCTTACTTAGCTTATTTCCCAAATCCTTAAATTTTTAAACAATTTTTGGAAAACATTCTCATTGTACCGTATTGTAAAAAAAAAATCACTCGTAAATTTTTTTAATGGCGTGATCTTTAATAATAATTTATCCGTATATATTACCTTAATTTATCAATAAACTTTTTTTTTTTTGAACGATAAAAAATCGATCAACACGTCATCTTCCCTTTTTACCAACAATAAATGACATATCGCGCATCTAGTTTAAACAAGTTTTTAATTTTAGTTATTAATAGATTTATTTATGTACTATTTATATATGGGTATTGTTGTTTTTTTTAAAGGTTTTATTGAGTGGCGTTACTTGGTGGAATTTCTTAATCTATTTATAATCAGATTCTTTAGGAAGTAATTTGAATAAAAATGATTATGAAATGAGCATGAAATGAAATATTTTAGGAATAAATATCAAAAAGGGAACAATGTATTTATCAATAAAACATTATTTGTTTTGATTTGCATACATCTTAATAAAAAGTCATATTTCAATCATTTTTAAATTTTTTAAATAAAAAAAAAAAATTCGGATAATACGTAATATTTTTACACGTAAAAGAGAAAAGAGAACATAATTTAACTCAAAGCAGGAATGTGGAATAATATTAACTTATTATATTTCTATAAATTGACGAAATGAAACCTAAAGAAAGAAATAGATTGAAAGAAATGGCGCAGAGATTCATTTGAGTAACTAACTATAAATGGAAATATGAGAAATAAATGAAAGGTAATAGATTAATAGTATTGTAAAAATTTGGAAAATATATTTATAATAGATTTAACTTATCTTGGAAACAAAATAATCAAAATAATAATAACCATCTGATCAAAATTGACTAAGTAGTAGAAATACGAATTACTCGATACAGTAATAAAAAAATCAATAGAAAAAAAAATAAGTTGTAAATAAGTAATAGAATGAAAAAAACTAAAATGCGGTGTAACAATAACAAGTATAATTAGAATATCAGAATGAATATTTCTTTCATTGAGAAAAAAAAATAAACTCTATATGTGGAGTTCGGAAACGAAGGAAATATTATTGTTCATTGTCATTGAAATTTTATTAATTGATTTAATTGGTGTATAAAGTATTGCCAGGCCATGAGTGAAGTTAGAACGTAATAAAACGTTTTTTCTTTATTATATTAAAAATGTTACCTCGCATATTTACGATCAATATAAATTCATCAAAACATTTGTTTACTTTATATTTACACATTTAAATCGCGAAACGAAAAAAAAAATGTAAGTGAGATATTTTGACAACAACATGTAAAAAATATGTAATGAAATGCATGAATCAATAAATTAATAATAAAATTCAATGAATGTAATGAATGTTTTAAATGTGTGTAAATTGTGTAAATTGTGTAAATGTATAAGAGATAAAAAATAAATAAATATTTTTATTAGAAGAAGTTCCTTTGAACTCGCGTACTTGAAATCAATAATATAATTAATGTAATAAATATTTTTCAGATGACATTTTCGTCGAAAATAGTCATTACGCATTGAAATAACTTAAATAAAATTCATTCTAACATATTTATTTTATTTTATATATTTTTCATTGATGTTTACAATGATCATTGTAAAGTGAATAAATGAATAAATGGCTGTAATGGAACTTATTTGTGATTATTTGGTTGGCTGGTTATAAAAAATTTTAATAATTTATTTAAATAGTTTTAATGTATAATAGTTTATTCAAATTTACTTACAAAATAAAAACGATTTACACGATTTACAACTCAGAATGCAATAATAACAATTGATTTAAATGATTGTAAAAATAGTATAAATATAACAATCATTCCCCCCAAAACACATAATTTTTTATAAATTTCTACTGTTTGTCCGTATTTTGTATTCTCTCAACTCTCTTGCTCTCTCTCTCTCTCTCTCTCTCTCTCTCTCACTCAATTCTCTCAATTATTTTTGTTCTTAATTATTTTTTTTTTTTCTCACAGCAAGTTATTACAATTATCTTTTATTGTAAAAATTATGGAGAGAAGTACTCCCGCACAAAATGTTTTACTCACCGCCGATATATTATTTAATATTTCATCCTTCTTTGAACGTCAGGATGATGTGTTTAAATGTCTTTTCGTTCATCCTACTTGGACTATGGTCTTTGTTAGAAAACTATGGAAAGCCCCTATATGGCATTCTACAGATTCAACTCAATGTTTCATACGTACACTTCGTAAAAGAAAAGCTTTATTTCTTTATGGACATATGGTACAAAGACTTGTATTTAAACTATACCGTAAAGAAATAGATCCAGGATTAACTTCTACCGATCTTAAACTTATCTCTCGATCTTGCCCAAATTTAAAACATCTTACTTTTTCTACAATAAATCCTCCTTTTAATCATAAAAATGTTGAACAATTATTAAATAAAACACCAAATTTAATTACATTATCTATACTTGATTGTGATAACAAATGGTTAGAAGGTTCTCTTAATCCACTTCTTCAAGGAAAATGTCCTTTATTAAAACATTTAGAAATTCATGATTGTAGTAGAATTTGGTCATTAAATTTACTTTGTAATATTGGAAAAAGTTGTCCAAATATTATCTCTTTAAAATTATATCAAAGAATTAATAGTTGGAAATTAGCAAGAATGATTACAAATTCTTTCCCAAATTTGCAATCCTTTGAATGCAAATATATTAATGATGTTGGATTAAAAGGACTTATTACTGGATTATCAAATCTCAAATCTTTAAGTTCACAATTTGAAAATGAAATTACCGATGAAAAATTAGAAACTTTGGCTGATCGATTCGCACAATTAGAATCACTTAGGATTAGAACCATTCATAAACAAGACTTTCCTTTATTTTTTACTTCTTTCACAAGATTTCAACCTTGTTTAAGACAAATTTATTTAGCCACATTATTCATTCGAGATACAGCAATAGAGACAATAGCAAAGAATTGTCATAATTTAGAATCAATCGAAATTTTCATGTGTTTTTATTTAACAGATGCTTCCGTCAAAGCAATAGCTCAACATCGTAATACACAACTTAAACATTTTATGATAGCATATAATGCATATGTTACAGATGAAAGTATTGAAGAAATTGCGAATTATTGTACGAAATTAAAATCCATAATCATAATAACGTGCACTAAATTAACCGATCAACCATTTATTAATATTGCCAAAAAATGTAAATCCTTAGAAGAATATACAGTAAGGCATCATTCATGGCATACATTAGCATCCATAGTACATACTTTATCAATTCGGAATAGAGGAACTTTAAAAATATTTAAAGCATATGAAGCTGGAGTAAAAGATTTTGTTGTTAAAAAACCAAATTATATAATAGATGCAATAACATTAGAGAAACTTGCAATAAGGTGTTCAAATATTAAAACTTTAGTTCTGAAATGTAAAATACAAGAAACCGATCAAAATGTAATTATTTTTATATTTTTTATATATTTTTATATATTTTCATTTAATATCTATTATTATTATTATATTATTATTAACACTTTTTTTTTTCGTTTTTTTTTAATAGAAACTTATTAAGGCAATTCGTAAATTTAAAAATCTTGAAGATTTACACATCTCACCATCTGAAAAATTTACTTCAGATGATATAAAACAATTAGAAAAACATAAGAGATTAAGATACGTTACTCTTTTTCACGGATTTACTCCAGAAATTCAAAATATTCAACTTTCATCAAGGCAAGAAGTTTCGGCCAGGATTAATATTACTCTCGTTACTCCAGTATAATAAAAAATAAAATCATTAAAAATTACATCTTATAAAATAAGTTATTTATATATTTTGTACATATTTATAAAAATAAATATATTATTATATATATTTGCAATTATTTACAATAAAAAAAAAATAAGGTTTATCGTCATTTGATTAATGGCTCCAAATTTAGTTGTCATTACATTCGTAATTATGATGTCATCACGTGAAATATTTTTGTACTATAAATATTCCGCATTTTTTACCTAACAAAACATACTGCCATTTTTGCTTAATTAATAAATGGCATTAAATTTATCTTCGAATGAAGGTACACTACCTAACGAAGTAATCATATATGTTCTTAAAAACTTGAAAAAGGAGGGCGGGTAATTTCATTATTATCTCGTTTTTAAATAAAAGATATTTAACATAATTACTTTTTTTATTCAACTCAATTTTTTTTTTTTAAAAAAAAAAAAAAGGTTCAAAGAAATATTTAGACTCCGAAAAATTTGTAAAAAATGGAATCAACTGGTACTGACGGTTGTACAAGATGAATTTCTAAAAGAATTGTCTGAGAATTGGGATTTCGTTTTAAACATAGTAATTATATAATTTTTTCTTTTCTTTAGTAAGTATTTTTAAAGTTATTTTAAACCCCATTAATTTTTTCAAAAAATTATTCAGGCTAATATAAATAGTTATCGAGAATTAACAAAATATATTCCAAAAAATTTATCCTATGATCAAGAAGAATACAAATCGCTTCGATTAGATTTCTTTGAAGATGAAAATCTTTGCTTAAAAGGAAACTGCAAAACTCTCCATCTTTTTCCCGAGTTCAGGAAGTCTTCACTTCGCACGATGTCATATGATCATTGGTGTTATTATGAGTTAGAATTTAATAAAGATATAAGGTGTTGTAAGTGTAAAAATTCAAGAATATATTTGAAAAGCATTACAGATGAACATTTTTGTATTGAGAACATAAAAATTAATGTAATGAAATTGATTGGTCTAGACAGATATTTTTATTTTGGCACGTCTGATATGAACTATCTAAAGGTTGAAAATAAGTCTTATTTTAAATAACTCGTGGATCCGTCCCACCTTGTAATCTTTGACAATTAATTTTTGTAATTTTTTTTTTATAAAAATTTATTTATTTTTATATTACTTGTCTATGTATTAAATAATGATGAATATTATGTTAACTGAGAATGTCGTAATAGTTAAATATTTATTACCTCATTATTAACTATGACCGTGGAAGATAAATTGCGTTTAGAGATACAAATTATTTTTTTTATCTTTCGTATGCGTTTACCTAATCCTCTATCTTTATATACGAAGGCATCGCAAATTTAAATCCAATATGACTACTATCAAAGGAAAACCCGTTAATAAAGAAATTATAATAAAGAACATCCATCCAATTTCACTTAATAATTCAAAAGATTATGATGCATTGATGAAAGATATTGGTGTATATATATATATATATTTTTTGAAAAAAAAAATCTAATTCTTGATTCATCTATCGTACCATAATTACCATAAATATTTACCGTTAAATTTCCTTTATGAAGGTTCTGCCAAAGTTGTGTTGATAGGTGAGGCTTCACATGGAACCGAAGATTTTTATCAAGAGAGATGTCTAATTACTCAACGTTTGATTAAGGAAAAAGGATTTACGTGAGTGAAAATATAGATATTTTTGAATTCCATTACTTTAAGTGATTATTATATTTTTTTATATATTATATAGAGTCGTCGCATGTGAAGCAGATTGGCCGGACGCTTTTAAAGTGAATCGTTATGTCCAGAATTTCAAGATAAATGATGCAAAAGAGGCTCGTGCTTCTCTCAGCGAATTTCGCAGGTTTCCCACTTGGATGTGGAGAAATTTACAAGTTATGAGATTCGTTGAATGGATGAGAGCATATAACGATCATTTAGAAGCACAAACGAAATTAGAGAAAGGAGATAATAATTGGAATAAATATGATAAGGTACAAATTTTATGTATGAAACATAATATGATAGAAATTTTAACAAATAAAGACAAATTTTATTTAGGTCGGATTTTATGGATTAGATTTGTATTCTTTATTTGGATCCATGGAAGCAGTTATCAAGTATTTGCAAAAAACTGACCCTGAAGCAGCAGAAAAAGCCAAAAACCTGTAATCTATAATTTTTATATAACTTATTCAATTCGTTTTATAAAAAATCAATTTATTAATTAATTTTTAAAATTTTTTATTTTTCATAAGTTATTCCTGCTTCGACAATTTTTATAAATCTACTGAATCTTATGCGTTCGCAGGATACCTTCGTACCCGCCCATTATGTGAAAAAGAAGTAATAAAAGTAATGACCTCCCTGGTTCGTAAATATTCCGAAAGTATATTGAAAAATGGTCATCTGCATGAAGATGAAAATGGTATTGATGAATTATTCGCAGCAGAAATAAATGCTATAGTTGTTCGTGATGCCGAAGTTTACTATCGTACAATGTTTGGAGGTCATGCGAAAAGTTGGAATAAGAGAGATACGCATATGATTAATATTCTGAAAATTTTGATTGCTCATTTGGAAAAAATGAGCAAAAAAGAGGTTAAGGCTGTTGTTTGGGTAAGATTTTATCTTTTACTTACTGGTATATGTATTGATATTTTTATAAAAAAGAAATTAATTAATTTGAAATAAATAAATAAATCTATATAGGCTCACAACAGGTAAGATAATGATCTTTTGTTAAATTGGTACAAAGATTCAAAGAAAGATGAAATGGTCAATATTTTTTTAGTCACATTGGAGATGCACGTCATACCGACCAAGGACAGAGGCGTAAAGAAATTAATATTGGGCAACTTGCAAGAGAAACATTTGGAACCGATCACACTTATAACATTGGATTTACCACACATACTGGAACTGGTAATTTTTTAACTTCTTATTTTTTTAAATTTAAATTTAAAGATATGATGTATAATAAACTTGGTTGATAATTGGTTAGTGACCTGTGCTTCAGACTGGGATGGAGATCGTGAAACCAAGAGAGGTAATTGTTCTTTATAATACTTATTTTTTTTTATCTCTTTTAATAAGTATTCCATATTAATACTTAAACATAATTATTCTTAATTTAGTCATCCCATCACGTCCATCATCTGTTGAAAATGTTTTTCATACAGTTGCTGAGGAAACTAAAATTCCTAACTTTCTTCTCCGCTTCAACCGTATCATTTCTAACGCCAAAGTTTTTACAGACCAAGAGCTTATCAAGGCACTTTCAGAAAAACAACAATTGAGACAAAGAGCAATTGGTGTAATCTATCACCCTGAAACAGAAATGCAATCTCATTATTTCACTGCTGAAACTTCTTTGCAATTTGATACTGTGATTCACATTGATGAAACTAGTGCTCTTAAACCCATGGATAAACATGATTTTGAAGTTCGGGATGAATGTCTAGAGAAAAAAGAGGTGAGTATTTGCAAAATTCGAAAGCTTGATTTATTAAGAGTAATTTATATTTTTGTAAATTATTTATATTCATTTATTGCCTAGTACCCGGAAACTTATCCAACAGGAGATAATCCAATTTAATCAACATTATTGAGGTGGTTACCTTCAATTAAAAAAAAATAATATTTTTGTCATGTACAATATTATTATTTAATTCATATACAATGAATAAATATTTGGGATTTTTTTATATGTAAAAACATAAAATTTTACCTCAACTTGTTAATTTGAATACATCTAAAGATATGAGAGCATATGAACTATTTATTATATTCCCGAATTCAATGGTCTTATTATATATATATGAGCATATAAAGAGACACGGATAAGTATAAGCAAAAATAGGATGTCTAATTTTTGGAGAATTCAACATTAAAAAAATGTGAAGATTAATATCACAGAATATTGGGATACAAAATTAGGTTTACCAGTACGGACATTTGGCATCTATATAATATTTTTTGTGCATACATTCTAATAGGTGAGATATTCTGCATAGATGTAAATATTACATAAACATATAAAATATTACATAAACAATTCTATAATCAAAGTTTTTATTTGATTTAAAATATCCAGGTTTTTCTATTTAAATGATGGAGTTATATTGCAGATTGTCCAGATTGTCCAGATTGTCAATCATCTTTCTTTTTTTCTTTTTTCTTTTTATCGTGTTCTATGATGTTAGCTATCAAATCATACGAGAATGATCCATCATGAGTTTCCGGTTCATCTGTCATAATAATCTCTGAAATAATTATTCTTTCTATATAACTGTTTGGAATATTTCTTTACTAGATGATTTTCATCATTGTACGAGAAAATTGTATGACGTAAATATCTGTAATGCCCAAATATTATAAATAATAAAACCAACAATAATAATAACATCCATTTTCCGAGAGTGAATTCAATAGAAGAACCTTCCATAAGGGAATAATGGGAGAAACAAAAGTGGAATTACGAAACCTACATTATTATTGACGCGTGTGATTGTGATAATAAAAATTTAAAGTATTAAGAATAATTTAATAAAGCATCGAGAATTTTATAATATTATACCATCATTTTTTGTTCCACTACAATTTTTTTTTTTTAATTTTAAAAGAATGAATATAAATTTTTTTATTATAAGATTTATTAAGATTATTTTTAAGATATAAAAGTACGTTTTTTAAGTTACGAATGAGGTGGAGATTTTGAACTATATAAATGAAGGAAACAGTGAAAGAATTACAAACTAGACTTATAAATGAATGAAGTCATGTATATCTCTGCAAAATTCCTTTAATCACTGAATTTGCTAAAATTTAAAACACAATTGCGTATTAAAAATTAATTAATAAAATAAATAATAAAAATTGTTAAAACTTACAGGATTTGTAGGCGGCGATATCAATTAATAATATAATAATAACACTAATTATTATTTAATGTCATGAAATTATTACATGATGACGACTTACTAAGCTTCATGAACCAAACAAATCGCCAATCCACTTATAAGCCATCTCGAAAACGAGGGAATTAAATTAACGCGAAATAAATTGATACCAAGTGATAAATTAATTTGAAGAATGATTGATTTTAGGAAAATAAACAATTCGTACATAAAACACGTGAAAATGTAAAATGTTACAAACTTTGGTAATGAACATTACCTATACCTAGAATACCTAGAAAACCTAGAAAAGATGATCTCGCTTATTTATAAGTTTTCATAAATTCTAAACTGGATAGAAAGAAGTTATGAAGCATTATTAGAATAAAAATCAATAATCTAGATTAATTCCCTAAGCGTATTATTTTTTCATAGTATAGAGATATCACATGACTAACTCGTATTCAAAATATACTATTGCTCAAGATTGAATTGAATGCAAAAAAAAAAATTTAATAATTGAAAGATTCGCAGAGTAAAGAATATTAGTTGATATAATAAGCTTATTCTTTGATAAAATACGATACAAGTCCAAAACATATTATAAATTCACTGAGTAAACATATTTTTTGAATGATATAGATAAAAAATTAGATTAATTGAAGATAACTTGTCTTGGAGAAAGAAACTATTTAAAAAAAGATCCATTTTAAAGAATGCCAACAAATTAACCAAATTAACAAATTTAAATTGCTGAACTGCTGAATGATTGTCGAATCTAAAAAAAAGAGAAAAGAAACTTGCGGTTAATATAATCAGTGTTTTACGGTATATTAGTCTTAACCAAAAATCGAGTAACCAATTCTAGTATTCAATTGGTCAAATTGTGTAATGGCAATCTTGAGCTATTTAAGTTAATTATTCTGTGCATCAAGCATGTCAATAAATTGATCAGCATATTCTAGATATTGTTCTTCATTAATACTTTCTCTCATCTCTCATCTCTCATCATAACTTCTTCAACTCCCAACATTTCACAATACTTCATCAATTGTTCAGCACCACATTCCATTGCTATAGCCTCTACTTCTACAACATTTTCCTTATTTACAAATTTCCTAATCTCAAACTCGCATCTGTGAATTAATGGAATTATTGAAAATCTTGAGGCAGCATATAATAGTTCTATCCATACTTCAAATGTAAAATTATTATTTTCAGTTATTATTTCATTATCAATATGATCTGTATGGTCTTTTACTTTATCGAGATCATTTTTTTTAATAATAATATTTTTTTCAAATTCTATATTATCAATATCACCAGTATATAAAAATTTGAGTATCTTTTTCCAATGTGTAATAACTAATATCTTCAAGTTTCAAGGATCGACTATGTGATTCTGTCATTTTAGAGTTCAACAATGCTCGAAAATAATCAGATCGGGAAGAAAGAACTTCCGAGTGTACATAAAAAATGTCGTTTTTATCATTTACTTTTTCATTTATATCATTTTCTTCTATTCCTTCTATTCCTTCTATTTCTTCCATTTTGTCATTATTACTATCTAATGTATCTAGAATGATTTTAAAATCACTAGTATCCTGATCATTAAGTTTTAATCCCATTTTTCTGATATCATCTTTCCAAACTTGAACAGATTCATAAGATATATCAGGTTCTAATTCAACTCTCAAATCAAACTTAAATGTTTCATCATCATCAATTAATGGTCCAATACAAACACATTTTTGTCTAAATAATTGTGTATATTGATTTTGTTTGTCTGTCGTTTGACCTCTATACCAACTACGGTTCTTGGCATTCCAGCCGACATCCCAATTTTGTTTTTCACTATTAAATTTTAAATTGAATTCCTTTTCTGAAATCCCTTTACTTCCGTACAATTTCACATTTATGATAAATCCGTATTGCCCTTTAATAAATTCAGAAATATCTTTCATATAATCTACATCTTCGTGATAGTATCTGTGAAACCAAGTTGGTGTTGGGTCAAATTGAACTTTATGACATTCCGGATTCGGATTTTTCCTTGTACTTAGTGATGTGATATAAACTTCAATTTTGGAATCATCATCCCAAATAGAATGTTGTAACTTTAGTGAAAGAGAATATATTTTAAGATTTTCAGGACGATAATTGAATTTCCAAGATATTGAAGCAGATGAGGATGTGCGACATATATATAACCTATTCGAAAACAAAGAAAATAATATTTGGTTAAAACAAATAATAATAATAATAGTAATAATAGTAATAATAATAATGATAATTAGATATTATTTTTTATTTAATCACCTACATATGCCAATAATCGTCGTGATGAAATTCCAAGTTCTCAGTCTTTAAGACGCCACGATGCCATTCTTTCAAAAATTTACTTTTAGTATTTCCATTTTCGAAATATGCATCAGTGCGCGTATTATATGATATTCTATTAGTATATATATTTGGTTTTGACTCATGAGGTAAGATGTTTAATATGTATTTATCATTTAGTAATCCGATTAATTGATTCGATGAAATTGGTTTAGAAAATTGGTTTCCTTTGACATACTCAACAGCCGTCTCATCATCCGATTGAGATAAAAACATATTAAACTGAGGACGATTAATTAATCTTCGATAAAATCTATCATCTTGCTGATTTTCTGATACCATTTTATTTCTAAAGTGTATTTTTTTTTAAAAAAAAAAATAAAGAGTCAAATTTAGATGAGAGAAAAAAAAAACGTTTTTTTTTTTTTTTTGAAGTGTGAGAAAGATAATTGATAAAAAAATTTTGTGCTACACGACAATTTAATCTGCATTTAATCTTAATTTTTCTTTTCCATCTTAGTTATATTAAATAAATAAATAAATATAAAAATATATATAATATATATTTGATTCTTTAGCATTAGTACCAAAAGATATGATTGCGAATTAGAAAATTTTTTAATTAAAAAATATAGATATATACAGTAATATGTGAATTGAATTAATCTTTTATGTAAACTAAAAAAAAATAAATACTCGAATCCAAAAAAACTTCATTTGTTCACTACTTTTGACATGCACATTATTTTCCCCTTTTTATTTTCATTGTATGGCGTGGAGAATAACAAAAATAACACAAAATAACAAAATAATGATAATAAAATACTAAATTTTATCTGTAGTACAGATATCTGATTTATCGAAACAATTGCTTTGCAAGAATTTTATGCAGGATCTAAAGTTTAATAACTGCATGATTAAAGATAAGCGCATAGTATAGATTTCTTTCGAAGTTATCAATTTGGTTGTATGAAAGTTTCAAAAATTACCAAATAATATATAGATAGGTCATAAAAATGTTTTTTATTATAATTCTAAGCATAGATCTAAAATAATAATTGAATTTTAATGATTATAGTATTTTAGTTAAAAGAATCAATTATGGAAGTTTCGAACAATTGGATCATTATTGAATTATGTTTTGATTTAAACATAAAAATTTATTTTTTTTTTATATTATCTTAATATCTAATTGATCATCTTTGTTGGATTTTTCTTATTGAGACATCAAATAATGACTTAGTTATGGCAATGCAATATTAAAAATTTTAAATTTTTATTTTTCTTACAGAATGTTATCCAGAATCTTACAAAGTTACAATATTCTGATCCAAAGAATCTTAAGCAATTAAGCAAATAAATGAACAAACTCTAATTATCACATATATATAACCACAACTCCATTCATTCTAATATTAGATATTATCAATATATACATTGCGAGATTCAAAATGCTATCGCATGATAATGCATGATTGAGATTCTTATTTTATTTTCGGGAGTGAGGCCGAAAATGCAACTCTAATTTTTACCAGAATTATTACCATTATATTACCCCACAAGATTCTTAATTTTTAACGTGCATAAATTCAAGGATATATCACGTTAGGATGATAAAAAAATTTTATATATCACGGGTTTATATATTTATTTTTGTACATGCTTCTATGTGGGAAAATAGAATCTTTTGGTGTCAAGAACTTTCATCATCTATGCTGTGAGAATAAACTTCTTTATAGATAGCAACAATTAATTAATCCTTTGGTTTATTTTTTTTTTTTTTTTTACTTTTCTAGCAGTAATCAAGTGAAAGAATGATTTTAAAGTTATATTATTTCTATAAGCATGAATTATTACATCAATAATCACTTTTTTAACCGAATATGATAATGCAAATGTATTACATATTATTTCTCGTAGTTAATCAGATAATGCATCATTGTAAATGAGAGCACATATATATATAATATTGCATTCATAAATTTTTATATTTATTTGTATTCGTAATCATATTTTAAATTAGTGAAAACAGCTTTAAATTAGTGAAAAAATAGCTTTAAATTAGTTAAAATAGCTTTAAATTACTTTAAATCACTTTAAAATCACATCATATTACCTTAAATCACCTCATACTTATGTTAACTTATAAATATTTATTTAATATAAACTTTTCAACTATTTTATATTGATCTTGAAGATAAAGTTACTAATTTAGTTTTAATAAACTTCCGATAAAGCTGATTTTACATAATTTTTTTTTTTACTTGATCAAGAATAGACATATAGCTGGATCACAAGTTTTACAGAAGCATTTTAACGCGTATAATAGCATACATTTTTGAGGCTGTGCAAATCGCGTCTATAAAAAAATAAGAATGTGATTAAAGTAAAGATATGCACAAGATCATTGAGTTTCTTTCTTTTTTCATGCATTGTTTAAGGAGAGCATGAAAGAGAATAATTCTTTAATAAGTTAATTGGGTTCAGTTGCCCGTGAAACAATGCGCGTTCAATTATTATGTACTCCATGATCCATTTTATTTTGGAAGGTTATTAAAGAATAAACAATTTGATTACATAATTTGAAAATCTCGACTTAGTTTAAGGTACCATTAAAGGGAATTTATATTGGGTTGAGCGGCTCGCATCTTTAAATTGTTGCAAAAAATGCATTCAATTCATTTCATTGTCATCCTTTATGCAAGATAGCCCAATTTTTTTTTTTTTTTTTTTTTTTTTTTTTTTTTTTTTTTTTTTTTAAAAAAAAAAAAAAAAAACTTAATTCAAGAAAAAAGAGAATTTCTTTCAATTCTTTTATTGTTGTTAACTAAATTAAAAATAAATTCACGTAAATATCTTTCATTTTCAGAACTCTTTCAGAACCTTTTAATGAATCAATTCATTGACAAAAAAAAGATTCCCCAAATCATTACATAATCCCGCATATATTATATTACATAGGTGATGTTTCCAATGTACAAGTTCGCAAAGTATTTATACTTTTATAGATATAAATCTCGAACAAAGGTATAATTTTTATGCATTGATGATATATTATTGTTGTGTACTCCAAGATTTTGAATTAATAAAAGCATCTAAAAAAAATGGAGAAAATAATTCTATGCAATTACGCCTTGATCCTTTCTCAAATGGCGAATAAAAACATAATTTTTTAAAAATAGAGTATAGGAAAGTCTTATTAATTGTTGAAAAAATTTTTTCCTGAACGCACGCCTCAAAAATTTTTTATATGTAGGATGTGACATTCAAAAAAAAAAGGGTTTCCTAAATTGCTAACGACAGTGATAGTATGATCACCAAAATTTAATAACCACAGACCCCAGTTAAAGTAAAATTTATGCATAATTTTATGTGCAATAAAAAAAAAATCAATAATACACCGAGGATGTTGCAATTCTGCCTTAATGCGTATGCGCGGCTTAAGAATGTATGATATTATGAATCTTTGTTTGTGAAAAAGGAAACCTGTTTGTTCATTAAATTAATATCGAATAACCTGTGAATTTTCATTTAGAGAATCTCTCTTTAGACATTCTCTAATTTCTGATTAGTTAATTGATATAATTTAATTATACCCAAGAAATATTTTTTAAAAAAAAGAAGTAAATCTGGAATTATAGACTTCAAAATATTTCCTTTATTTTCTGATAAAATTATTTCATACAATTTGAACTTTTCTATATAAAGCCCGCGTTTTTTTTTTCGCCAAAACTTTTCGTGGCCATATCGTCGATGAATATGTAAGAATGAATCTCTAATTTGTTTACCTATATATTTATATTACTAATTTATTCTAAATTTTTTTTTGTCATTGAAGATTCAATGGCCACCCAATCGATTATCTCGGAATACTTTTCGCTTTCCTTATTGCATGCATAAGGTTATTTTTTCGTCCCGATTCTTCCTTTTCCTCGACATTGGTTTAATCATATTTACTAGCCCCTAAAATTTATATATAACTCTAATCAACCTTAAGCTAAGATATAAGAAATTATGAAACGATTATGATTTAGTTCGTAACCACAGACCACAATTGGCACCAGAAAAGATGAGATAGTGAGTTAATTGTATATATATATCTCATCTATTTTTAGAAGAATATTATTTATATAAAAATAGAGAATTCGTGAAAATCTGTTACAAGCCCGTCTTAAATTGGTGTAATTATATTTATTACTCTCAAAATTTTCATGATTCTTTATTTTTTTTTTTAAAAAAAAATCCATATTCTAATAAATTTGACTTCTTGGGTTAATTAATTTTTGAGTATCATAACAATTATATATTTTTTTTTTTTTGGAATTATAATAAAGTAATTCTCCATAAAAATATTTAATAATATAACAATAGATTCAGGTAATAATTTGACAAAAATCGTTTATCTTGAGCGATTATTTACATTTTTGCATTTTTTTTTCTTTGCCAATAAAATATTTTATTATAATAGCCCTACAAGATAAGCATGCATGTACAGTACATGCATCTCAGAGAAATTTTATATTATTAATTTTTATTATCAGTCACAAGTCACGTGATACCTAATTAAATAGTTCGTATATTTACCCCTAAATCTAATTGTTTTAACGATGTATGAATGGAGTTAAGTTTAGAAATTATCAAAATACAAAACATAATATTTCTTAATAAAATCTAATCAATCATTTAGAAATATTGTACTTATCATCGACAAGTTGACAAGATAATCATTATAAGGGGAGTTATCATAGGAGCCATTGCGATATAAGAATAAAATAATAATGCTGCCATCTCTTCTTGAAATGCACCACACAATTGAGCTAAATTCATGCAATTAACTCCAGTTGGTCCACTCGCGATTAAAATTAGAACAAACCGTAAGGTAGGATCGTCCATATACCATGTCTTTGTGAAGAAAATCACAATTAAGCCAATAGTCGGCATAATTATAAAACGATAAAATATTATGAAAGTGATAGCCAGAAACATTTCTTGAATAAATGAATTTTAAAAAAAATGATTAATAGAATTTTTAAGAATTCGAAAAAAAAGGATTTTTTTTTTACCTTTTCCTTTAGCGCGTGGCAAGTTTTTTAGTCGAGCTCCCAGAGTTATGAGTGTTAATGGAATTGCTGAAGAATCTATATAATCCATGCTTCTTGGAATAATGACGAATGGCGCATCTTCACCAAGAATATCGACTTTAAAGGAACAATCGAGCCAAAAATTATGGCACCACATGCGGCATATAATGGAGCATTCATAAATTTGTGAAAAGACTTGAAAAAGTAGCTAATTGGATGTAAAAATGACTGGCTTGAAGAACATTCATCATATTTTATCAAATGGGCTGTCTCAGTAATAGGTGCAACATGAGATATTCCGTCGAACTTTGGAATATTTGAAATATTCGAAGAAATAGAAGATTCTATATCGATATTTCCTTTTTTGAGTAGATATGGACCTAAAATATATGTATTATGGGGAATGTAAATCAATGCCAAACCTGAGATCATTGTATATTGAATATGAGTACTGTACTAACCGTAATACATTACTGAAAAGAGATCCCAACAATATATAAGATGTTCCTCGATTTACTATATCCGAAGTTGTATCATTTTCCCCAAACGATAATATCTTGATTGCATCGGTATTTGACATACTCCTTAATAATCCTAGGGAAAGTGTTGTGACACTATTAAATATAATACCTGTAGTCACAAATCGAATATCCGGTGAGGACAGCTTTAGTAACCTTCCACTAATTAATCCAAAAGTCGCGCTAATAATCAAAAAGATAATGTAAAACGTTGGAATAACCCAAAGTTGTCGAAATAAAGTATTCAAATCAATAATAGGGGAATATTAGAGAACAATAGACATGGCATCAAAACATTAATTATTAATTCAGACAATCCCTAAATATCAATTAGAAATATTTAATAAAATCAAAGTGAAAAGAAATATCGATATCATTGATTCTAAACTTTCAAACCTTTTGGACACTGGAAGTGATCACTCCATATTTTGCGGATAAATATCCTGTGAGACATATTAGAATTACTTGCGAACTAGACTAGAAAATTCGTCAAAGATTAAAGATCTAATTTAACAAATTAATAAAAGATAATAAAAGAAGGTTAAGAATAAATCTTTATTTTTTTTTTTTACCATAACGGAAGCGTAAAATAGAGAGAAATAATTTAATAGTTGCATCGTTATTGAGTTAGCGAACAATTTAATAGTTGCATCGTTATTGAGTTAGCGAACAATTTGATGAGATGAAAGAAATTAAATATTTTTTAATATTTTTTCAAAAAACTTAATGACGAAAAAAATCAAATTTCTTCAAATTTATTTAATAATTATATGTTGTGTAATTTACCTGTCAATTAATTTTTAGATTCTCCAATTATGAATATGCCAGAAGGATAAAATTATGCATTTCATCATCGAATCGTGCAGTTTTATTTTTTAAAACGAAATGACGTCAATTGGCAGTAATGAACATTCAATTGACGCAACCATGGGGTTGTGAAGGAACTTTAAGGTTTGATTTCATGCAACTGAAAAAAAATTATCCGTGAAAAAAGAATTAATTAATTAGTAAAACTATGATTCAAAAATTTCAAGAATACCGAAATCGAATGCATTTCAAGGTATGATTTCGATAAAAATTTCTCCGTAATCAACACGAAAAAAAATTAATTAATTATTATTTCAATAAACAATGATTCAGAACTTCACATGAAAAAAAAAATATAATTTAACAAAGAAACGATTATATGTTTTTATTCATAGTGTAGTATTAAGAAAATACAAAATCCATGCTAAGAAAACATGTTCATTAAAAAACAGGAACACGAAATTTAAATATTAATTTTTTTTCTCGGACATTTTTAAACGTATATACATTAGAATTTGAAGTCTCGACGATCGATATGTACATGAAATTGGATTTTTTTTCTTGGCAACTAATAAATATAAATATTATGTATACTAGTATTTCTCTCTCAATTTCTTAAATCTTCTTATATTACAGCATAATTTCGCATAATTATTTTGCTTATATACATATAATTTAAATAAGCTTTATACGCATGCATATCTGACAAATATGGTGTCATAGTTCGTAGTTATATTAAATCGAAAATAACGGCACCAGAAAAGGTTCGATACTAATCTCGGTAAAATTACGAAAGTTAAATAAATGCATTCCGAATATTATAAAAATTATAAAAAATAATATAAAAATGTGTCAATTTCTCTCTAAATTACAACCGAAACGAATTTAGAATATTTAATATACGAAGTTTTAAAGGAATGTGAATTCTTTGAAATCGTTTTCACGATTGAAAGTAAGTTTGATTTATCGCGAGAGGACGAATAGTTCTAAATTTTCATTGATTTAGCGTTTCAATAAATTAACCGTTTTTTCCCTAAATGAAAATAATACAAACAATAATTTCAGTTAGAGTAATCACGTGATATTGGAAATGTAGAATAAACTTTATACCTCATGGTCGTTATATTTTTTAGGACATTTAATCATTCAAATATAATTATTCCATTAATCACAGATTTTGGTTTTATTGATCTTATTAAAAAGAACGCTCGCATTCTTTTATTTTTATTAGGGAAAGTCAACAGTTAATTATCGACCATATTTTCCATCCTCCAAAACCAATGTCTTTATATAGTTTCTAGAATCAATGAATTATATATTATTAGAAGTATGAAATGACTTCTTAACTTGTATTAATAATCCAAAAATTTTTTAAATTCGGTAAAAAATGTTTAAAATTCGGGGATGAAATTTATATATTAAACGTATTTGTACTCCACAATAATTTTAGAACGACCGTGAATTGCTTTTTATAATCTTTTATTTACCATAAGTTCTTAAAGCTAAGTTGTAAACGCCAAAAGTTTATATTTGTAAATCGATTAGATCGACGTGGTGGATCAAATACACAGGGATCTTGCCACTCTTAGATAATTCAATTTAAAGTTGATTAAAATCAGACAAAAGTTTTTTTAAGTACCATTCAATGTTACTCAGCATTTTAACAATAAACAATATAACAAATATTTCTTAAAGAAAATCCAATTTCTTTCCTAAATGGTACAAGTGTTTACAAAACGTAGATTATCGAGAATTAAAATTTGTTATACAAAAGATATTAGAAAACAATCAAATATTTACTGATTATTCAGATAAATTGCACTCTGAATTCTTTCATTTAATGGTCTGTGCGAGTATGACAGGCTAACTTGAAAAGTAATCTTTACAGTAATATTTATAAACGTGATGCGTTATGTTAGAATAATTAAATTTAATATTCTACGATAAATTGTGCGTAATCCAAGTTTAAAAGTTTTCTTATCAAACGGAACTTGTGATGAAAATGGGTTTTCTTATTCCCAGATTTTCGGATGATCTGAAAATCTCTTTAACAGTCAAATATCATGTGGTATCTTTACTATGAAATATAAAAAATGAAATGAACTTGTCAGAACGTTTTCAAGTATATTGTGTAACAAAAGCATATTTTAGTAGAAATTCATTTCAAAGATAATTAGCTTTTGTTATTTGACTTAAACAAAGAATTAGGCAATGGCAAGAAGTTTTCTATAACAAACTTTAGTGGAAATAAAAAAAAAAAATTTAAACTACTATGGAAAGTATAAATAAATTCAAGCAAAAAAAACTTTAATTAATTAATAAGAGAAAACATTTATATTTTTGGATTGATTACCCTTTGTCATAAGAATAATGTTTAATTTAAAATATCTTTATTTATACAAACTTTTATGAAAAATAAACTATATTAAGAAATGAAACGGTACTAGATCTACGATGACGGGACCCACTATTGTAAACTTCTTCTTTTAGATACTTAGATTTTTGTAACTACAATCTCAAAACTTGATATGGAAAGAAAACGAATTGTAGTATAATTCACCTATATAGTCACACCTTCTAAAAATCCTAATCATATTAATGTTGTGTAAAAAACCATACAAATCATAAAAATTTCCATAAATAAATAATTTCAATTAAAACGTTTTAATATTCGTACATTTCCAAACTTAAAATAAGTATTATCCATCTATAATATATTTGACCAATTAATTTGAGTAAATAAATAATATATTAGCCAAATATACAATACCGTTTTGGGAATAAATGGATATATTTGTGTTGGTGAAATGTCACGCCGTTATGATCACTGGATTCTGTAAGATTGATCACATGCGTCAACAAGAGTTTCTTTGGAATGCCCGCGAAAATCGTTTCCTTAATGCCTGAAATAGAAATAAAAAAACCTCCGATCATTTATATGTACAGTCGCGTCGCAAAGTAACGCCCGATTATTAAAATAAAAATTCCGATATGTACATGATTTATTCCTTTCTATATTATGTACATAAAGTTTTTTTTTTTTTTATGATTAACTAATACATCCAATGATGTTTCAATTCTTTGTGACATTAAGTCCACAACCTTCCTAAGAGCGTTTTGTCTCAACCCACTTTGCGATTTTTTTTTTTGCAGTATGGATTGGGAGTATTATCCTGCTGAAACACCAATTTTAGATGTCATTTTTAATCAACAAATCATTAATACATTCATACAGTCAAAAATTAAATGGATAAAAAAAAAAAAGAAAATCAGTTGTGCATATTGTTACATCAGAAAATCGGGCGTTACTTTGTAACGTCTCTTTGTCAGGTGGGAGATGGGTGAAACCAAGATCATTGATCTATTTTTTTTTGTCTGTTGAAAAAAAGAAAATAAATTCTTTGATTTTTTGTCAGTTGATTTTTTTCAATACTAGATGGAATAACAAAGGCCAAAGGTTATGTACTGCCGAGAGTAAGTTCAAATTGTGTATTTTGTTTTTTAGAAGTTCTGGTTGTAGGGTTGGAATTGTTTATCCTTATTTTTGTTTGTTCTTTTTGATTATTCATCACTATTGTACTCTTTGTTTAGAACCATATTTACATGATGGTATTGTGGTTTTTTGTTGTATCAAGCTACGAACTGTGAATTTTATAATTTATTTAAATGATTAAAAAGATGGTAAGACAAAATTTATTGCACAAGTGATTTTTTTAAAAAAGAATGGTAAAAAAAATTTATTACATGGATGTGTTAGTGAACTTAATAATTTTTTGGTTTATTCTTATTAAATTAATAAAGTAAATTGATGGTATTTGGTAGTGGGTTGTAATTTCAATTAATAATCAAAAAAATTATTTTTGTTTGTGATATAAAGGTCGATGTCTTTTTAGTCTTCAGTATTGGGCTCATCTTATATCTCGATTATTTCCTCAAGGCTTGACATGATTCGAGAAAAGCTTGGTAGTTTTCCTCTTCGGGCACCATCAACTTTGAAACAGCAATATTTTTATCGCCTTTTTTTTTGTATTTCTACCTTCGCAGTGGATGCAATTGACATTATGTAGAAATAGTAAAATTTATTAGCTAGTCGATTTCTTGCGGCAATGTTGATGCTGCCGGTAGAGGTAAGAGGGAAGTGATAAGTATGATGTACTAGAAATTATCGCCTCAAAAATCACATTAAGATCCTTAAGATAAGCTATTTTATCTTCGTTGCTGTTGGTATTATTGTAACACGTAAGCAACGATTGAGGCAAATCATTATGAACCTTTTGTCACAGAACTTGTCAATGAATAATGTTCCAGAGTTGAGAAAAATCTTATAGGTGTATCCAAACCATCCGGTTCATCAAAATAATGTGCCCAGAATTTTTTTATATGAATTAATATATACAACTATGTAAATGTTAGAAGCTATTGTTATTAATGAAGAGTGTAAAAGAAATAAGAATCTATTTGTTGTTTTTTTGTTGAGAAATTTGATTATTTTTGCGGTATTTTGTATTGAGATTATGAAAAATTTCAATCGTTCTGTTTTAGTCACAAAAAACACTTTTTTTTTTTAAATTTATTTATCTTTATTTGAAAATTTACTTTGAACGGAAAAGATGATTTATTTTTACCTAAGAATAGTAATTGAAGTCACCATATTGACATAAACTCTTCTAAAATATGTTCCAATTTATGTATTTAAGAAAACAAAAGAAAAAAATCTTATTTCTTGTCATGAATATACGTACAGGAAATTTGTTGTTTTTGGCTTATAAAGACCATTATTACCTTATGATAAAAATTTTGAAGAAATGGAGTTTAAATCAAATAAGGAAATCAAAAGAATTTATTGGCTTCTGAAAAAATACTTTTGTATGTGATAAATTTAATAGAGAATTCTTGGTTTTGAGATCCTTTTATACTTTTATACATTATTGTCAACGGTTATTGTAGTTACATAATAAATATTAATTTAATTAATAAGTAGAATATAAAAAAAAACAATTATAAATTTACAAGATTAAATTCTTGTATCAGTTCAGTTATAGCTATTATATTATATTACAGATAAGTTCCTGAAATTCTGAGTTATAGTAATATAAAGTTAAAGTAGTGTTAAACCTATTATTTATAATCTTCATACTACCTGACAATAGTTTCCTTGAATAGTATAATTGTTTCAAGAGTTTCTATTCATTCCACGTGTTTATAGTTATTTGTGATATTTCAAGGTCAAGAAATTTATAATAATAGTTATCAGTAAATATCAAATACATTTTTCCTGGTTCAAAAGAACAAGATATATGAAAAAATTAGATTCTAAATACTTTATTATTATATTTATAAAGTTTTATAACAATAAAGAAAATTTTCCTAATTATAATAAATGCAATAAATGTACAGTAAATAATATTATTAATAATCTATATTTCACTTTCTTCGAAATTTTTTCTAACTTTTTTAGCGAAACTATCATCTGCCAAAATTTTTAATCCAACTAATGTCATTCCTTTTGTTGCTTTAATTGTTTCAAGATGTGCTAATTCAGTCTTAGCTTGTTTGGTAAATCCTGGTGTGTGATTACTTTCGCCAGGAGGCGGATGAATATTATACATTGCATGAAATCCTGGAACCGAATATGTCACATTTCCTTGATCTGTCGAACCTACGGAGATCATTGATTGATGGTTTTTCGATGGGAATTCCACACCAAAATTTGTATTCATATAATTTTCATAACGTTCAGCAATTTGATCGTTCGTTTTTACATCTATAATTAAATATAAAGAAATGTAAAGAAATGTAAAGAAATGTAAAGAAATGTAAAGAAATATCAAGAAATATCAAGATATATAATAATATAATAAAGCTCACCATAAAGTTCTTGCCCCCATGTAATTTTCACCTTCGCTCCTGTTGCTTCGGCAGCTGCAAGAAAACATTTATCTACACGAGGTCGAAGATCATTTACATCCGCGAGTGTTCTTCCACGAATAGAAAACCTACCTGATGTATAGTCAGGAATTACTGTATTAAATATAACAATTTTATTAATTTATTCATTAATGATACTTTAATGATAATAGAAAAAAGTAGATTTAATATATTTAAAATACAAACTATTTGAAGCCTTTCCTAAATAAATAATTAATTAATTAGAAATTAGGAATTATTAATTAATGTATTATTGTATTTATTAAATTTATTTATTACCTCCATCAATAATTATTCCATGAATTCTATAGATCAATTAATTCATTTTAGTATTCATATTGTGGCGTAGTTAATAACCTAAAGAAAAACTTTTATAAGAAAATACCTGTTTGTAGGCAAAATTTGTTGTCTCAACAATCCAATGTTGGTATAAGCCGACACAATTGCATCCAAGGCATTAATTCCTATGAACAATTAATTAAATATAAGAAAAATAACAAAAAAAGAATGGACAAAGAAGAAAGAAAATGAATTACCTTCCCAGGGGTCACCTAGAATTCATTAAAAAAAAAAAATAATCAAGCAATGCATTTTATGTATTTATAAATTTGATTAATAAATTTTTAAACGATTAAATTTTTTATTACCAGCTGCGTGAGCACTTTTTCCAAAGTATTCTACTTTTACTGATTGTATTGCCAAGAAGTTTATAAATGCTCCGTTGAATGGACTATAATATAATAATGTATTAAAGTATTTAATAAAAAATTTTTAAATTTTTGCTCATAAAAACTAAACTAACCTTGGATGAATCATTAGCGAAGCAAAAACTCCTTCATATGCGCCCGCCTTGATCATATCTATTTTTCCATGCCCCTTTTCTTTACATATTAATTATATGAATTATATGAATCATGAATGGTTAACAATTAAAGAATTATGAAAAAAATCGTATTTACCTTCAGCGGGTGTACCAAACAATTTAACTGTGCCTTCGATCTCGAATTTTTCAAGTACTGCTTTAAGACCAATAGCAGCACCTATTGTATCAACAAATATCAATTATTATAAAATTATGAAATAGATGAAATAGTTATTAAAATATCTTTATCTTAACCGGCTTACCTATTCCACTAATTGCTATAAGATCTATGATGATGAAATAAAATAACATTAAAATAATATTAAGAAACATCAAATTTACGAAGATCTAAAAAATAAAATAACTTACTATGACCGCAGGCATGCCCAATACCTGGCAAAGCGTCATATCTAATTATAATAATTGTAATTAAAAACGTGAAAATATGACAACACAAACATGAACATATTATACTGACTCCGAATTGAACGAAACAACACGTCCTTTTCCGGATTCGGAACGATATTCCGCGACGAAGGCCGTATCAAGTCCGAAAGCATTCGGTGTTACGTTAAACCCTTTTTCTTTCATATAAGGAACTATTAAATCATGTGCGTATTTCTCTTGGTAACTCAATTCTGGGCGATCATGGATCTACAAAAAGAAAAAAATTTTTTTTTTGAAATTTCAAAAAAAAATATATATATAATAAAAAAAAACGATTAAATACCAATAAACTTATATCCCTTAATTCACCAGAAACATCATCGATAGCTTTAAGGGCAATATCTTCAATTTCAGAGAGACCATAAATTGATTTTTCATCAGTATTATCCTCGTGTGACTCTATTATACTAAAATTTCTTCCGTTAACTGGTGTTTGATTTTCTCTTGAATCAATAAGCTAATGAAATTATTTAAAATTATAAATATTTATTATTTTTTTTAAAAAAAAAGCAAATAATGAATACAAATTTGATAATCATGATAAAAACACACACCACTTCATTTTGCGAATTACGTTTTAATTTATTTTTCTTGGATTTTTTTTTGAATAATCTCTTTAAATTCTTAAAGAGTCCACAATCATCGGTCGTTTCCGTTTTCTCTTGGATGTAATTCATTATATACCAAATAGAATAAAATATAAGTTGAAAAAAAAATGACAGAAAATAAAAAGTAAAACCAAGGGAACAAATTCAAAAAATTATCATGATTTATAAAGGATCATCATTTAAAAAAAATTTGGAATTTTTTTTTTATTACACTAAATTATAATTATTATAATTATAATGACTATTATAGTAAAGCTATTTATCCTCTACTGATGTATTACCGTCGGTTCCGATGATAATTTTTTTGCCGACATTTACATGATCATATGGACAATGTCTACAATTATTCCCACAACAGTAACCCCTTTCTTTATGATATAGTTCAGTCATTACTAGATATGATGTTTCGGGATCTATGTATGTTTTTTCATTATTCTATTTTTTTTACAAAATCATGAGTTTATTTAGACAATGCACGGATATTTAATTTAAAAGCGGGGCGGACTGCCATTTTATCATAAGCATTTACCTGTATGGCTTTTTTGTGAACTTCGGTCCACGGATAATTATTTTCTTCTTCTAGATTTTTCTTGTCGATTGAGGAGTTACTCTCATTTTTTATAGTTTCATTTTCTAGAATTCTTAAATCTTTTTTTATATTGTTCTTAGATCTTGAGTTCATAATTGTTCTATTCGATAGATTTGTTCTATAAAAGGATCTGACCAAATTTATTATCATAAAGAAAATAAGTTCGGAATTTTTCTCCGAAATGTTTTATATTTTTATTGAACAATGTCCGTAATTATTGGTCAAAAGTTTATTGTAATAATAAGCTTCCTTATTTTTTTTTCTCAGGTACAGCAATATTTGATATACGTATGTAAGTAAGTCATTACACGCGAAATAAGTAAAATCCCACGGAATATAATTACTCCTAAAAAAATGCATTCAAGTTTACCATTTAGAGTATGATAGACAAAGATTGTCATTGATTCAATGAGTTTGTGGCGTTTAACTGATTAACTAAATGAAAAAGTCCTGTTCTCAATTCAAATATCTTGATATTTTTCTACGCTTGACGCAATCGAGACCCTGATAATACATAAACAGTCAAGTCTCTCTATTATCACACGATCGGAACCAAAAAAAAAGGGGATTATAAGGAATTGTGATTATATAGAGTTTTTTATATTGCATTGGTTCAAGTGTGATTATATAGAGAAAAATCATCTTCAAAGAATAAATAATGATAAAATATTCGTTACATTTTGAGGAGTCATTCATCTTTAATCAAAATGATAGCTGATATTATTTCTGCAGGTTTCAATTTTCTTGAGCAAGACAACTCTGTAATTTATTTCATTATTATTATATTGAAGTAAATCATAAAGTGTGGTAACATTCGTTTTGGCTGAGTTATTAATTCATTTCGTTGAACAAATTTTGGTTTCGCCTTCAATAATTGAAATATGAATTCATTTGTGCTATTTTTTTTTTTTTTATATTCGCGGTAATTGAATTAAATATAGATATATATATTTAATTAAAAGACTGTGAGAAAATTTAAAGAATTAGTAGAAAAGTTTTAAATCGTTTCGCACAGCCACCTTATATTACAGGTTTTATTTTTATTTTTTCGTGAATTTTGCAAAACAAATAAACCTTTTATTGTCAATCTCTTTACTGTATGTTACACAGGATTTATATATAAAACAATGAAGTTTCTTTGATTTATTTCGAAATGATATAATGTTATGTATTTTTTTCAGCTTTAGATTGAACCTTTGTAAATAAAAAACAAATTTTTAAAGAACTTTAACGGTTCCTAAAATCATCGGGGATCTATAAATCTGTTTTTTAGTTGTAATATAATCGTTTATAAGAACTTTTATTTCTAGCTCCAATAGGTACGGCCATACACAGTGAAAGGCACCGGAACCCGTCCGATCTCCGAAGTTAAGCCACTGATGGCCCAGTCAGTACTATGGTTGGGGACAACATGGGAATACTGGGTGCTGTACCTTTTGTGTTTTTCCAATTTTGTCGTTACTGCGGGATGAGACAAAAACTTTATTCTTGTTACACGAAATTTTATAACATAAATTGCAACATTTTAAAAATTTCCATAATTACTTTTCTTTCTTATTTGTAAAAAAAAATGGCTACTAAATTTTACGATCGTCTATCAAACGACCTTACACAACTTTTTGAAAGTGGTGTTAATTATGATGCCTCAATTGAAGTCGGTGAAGCTTCCTTTACCAATATTTATAAGGTACATTCAATTATTTTACAATCCCGTAGCCCGTATTTTAACAAGAAATTCAATGAAACTTTCAATGACAATCATGTCAAAGCATTAAAGCTCCCTAACATTTCTGTCAAAGTGTTTGATGTTATTATCAAGTAAGCTTGAATATTCCTTTTTTTTTTAGAAAATAATAAATAATTTATTTTAATTATAATTTTATAATAATAAATTATTTACAGATATATTTACGGTGGAAAAATTTCATTGGAAAAATTGGAAAATTCTATTATTTTTGATCTTTTAATTGTTTCAGATGAACTTGAATTAGGTGAATTAGTAGAACATCTCCAAACTTTTCTTATTAACAATAATGCTTCATGGTTAAGACTGAACTTTGCTCAAATTTATCAGAAAAGTTATCAAGTTAAAAACTTTAAGTTTATTCAAGAATTTTACAATGATATTATTGTCAAATACCCTAATACTATTTTTGAATCTGAAAATTTTCATTCTCTTCCTGAAAATGTATTAATCAATATTCTTAAAAAAGATGACTTGCAATTAGAGGAAATTAAAATTTGGGAATATTTAATTCAATGGGGGAAAGTTAAAAATTCTACTTTACCTACTAATCTCAAAGATCGGACAAATGATAATTTTTTAACATTAAAGGAATCTTTAAAACAATGTCTTCCACACATTAGATATTTTAGCATTTCCGGTAAAGATGTTGTAGAAAAGATTTTTCCATATCAACAAATTCTTGAGCCTAACCTTTTTTTAGACATTAATTCTAAAATCATGGTCCCTGACAAACCAATCTCTTCAATTGTGTTACCACCACGAAAGATTTTAAACGCAACGCTTCCAAATCGAAATGAACCTTTCGAATCAACCCTTTTCACCGTAATTAGAATAATTAAGAATTTACACAAATAAAATATTGTCAACCTTGAAAATATATTAATAAAAAGATTTTTTTTTAATATAAAAACAACAAATATTAACTTTTATTCTTTTTAATTTTTGAAAAAATTAATTGATTTGATTATCACAAAATTAATAATAAATAAGGTTAATTTTCAATAATAAAAAAATTTCACATAATAAATTTCTTTTTTGGATTTATTCCCTAATTTAATTCAAATTTACTACTTTAGTCTTTAATTAATTTATTTAGTTACTAAAATGAATGAATTAAAATAAATGAATTAAAGACATTTTTCAAAAGACAAAAAAAATTATAAAGTATGAATTTAGAATTAAATTGTGATGTTATTGATTTGAATAATTTCGATAACTATGGGTGGCATAACGCCGTTTTTATTCGAGATCACCTATGTTATTATATGTTATTGAAAAAAATAATCTCCCCTTTAAAAAAAAAAAGTTTCTTTCAAATAAGTAAGAGAATAGAGAAACGTAACTCATTATAAAGAAATAGAAATGATAAATAAAGAAACCATATTATTCATTAAGAACTACGCCACTACTAACTGATCAACTGATCGAATAATTATATACTGATTACGTGAGATACTAATATTTGCTATATTCTTTTCCGCAAATTAAACTTCCCACGAGAACTTCAAGCATTAAGGATAGTCCGTCAAACCTATAACAAACAAACATTGATCTTTTTTTTTTTAATTAAAAAAAAATGTTTGATTGTTATTGGTTCGATGGGCAATCCCTATTGATTAATAAAACTTATGAGGATTTTGTTTGAGGAAAAGAATAAAACAGATAAAGTTTGTAAAATTAGGGAATTGAATGAAAGTTGAATTGTGGTAATAAATGATAAGAGGTGGAAGATAAACCACATTCGAAATTGTTATCGAAATATCCATTGTTGTCGCTTCCAATTAATTCGAGTTGTACATGCTCTTTTGTTGTTGATGGTAGTTGATAATTGGTATAATTGATATACATGTTTTCTTTTTGATAAATTTCGAAGTTTTCTGACGGTGGAGAAGAAAAATTTTCGTCATAAGGAGCAGAATATGATGTTAATTGATAATAATTATTGCATTCAAGACAACCATTTTCTTCTTCCAGAGCAATTTCGGTATTTTCAGTATTTTGATTTTCGACAATTTCAATATTAGGGAAAATCATTAAATCGTTCATATAAAGATTTTCTACGTAAATTTCTGGAATTTTGTTTATGTATTCTTCAGAATATTGTCCAGCAACAATATTTGAGAAATTATTATTATTATTATAATTATTAATCAGAGGAGTAGAATGTATAGTTGAAGGGGTGGACGCTAGAGAATTTTCTTTAATATTTTTTTTTTGCGGTGACCTAGGTCTTTTTTTTCTGCTAGGTTCATATCTATATTCCGGATTTGAATATAATAAACGTTTTTTTGCTAGATCGGCTAGTTCTATGAAAAGATAATATACAGCCGGATTTTCCTGTTCGTTCCATGCCTGGGTCGCCAAAGTTGATATAATATCTGCTTTTTTAACATTATAATTTTGATCGTTTTGAATTTTTATTTTATTTTTTCGTAAACCTTTGTGAAAATTTTTACGAAAAATCATAAAAGGATTTAAGGAACGCGGCGGTTGTTCCCTTTCATTTTTCGTATATTTGGAACCTTCTCTCGAATTAGCAGAAGTTTCTGTCAATTCTTCTAATGACAAATAAATGGAATATGCGGGATTTACTAACAGTTTTTCGACTTTTATTTTTTGGTCGAAATATTCCTCTTCGATTGTCTTCGAGTTTTTGTAACTTTGGGATGTTCCAAGAATAAATTGAAATTCTCGAGATTTTGTAGACATGGCAAAAAAGTTTTTAATAATAACAACAATAGTGATTATAATAATGATGTGACGATGATAGAGTTCAATTAATAATTTTTTCGATTTTATCGGGTGGTACATTCATTTTATTCCTTTTCTGGAAACAAAGCCCAAGTATTAAAAGAAATATCATTCTCATTCCCATGTGCAATCTTTCTGGCAAATTCGATAAATCAAAAATGTTAAAAAATGATTATTTGGGTTTTACGATGACAAATAGGAAAAAATTAGAAAAAATTAGAAAACGTGCGTGACAAAAAACAAATACGAAAAAGTAAAGATCGACAACCCTAACCTAATCTAACCAGCATTAACTCTAACTCCTAACCTGGCCAACACTAACCTAACAATTTCTTAGATCAATTTATGCACACAAATTCATGGGTACACTAATTCGATGTACACAAATTTTAACTGGTTTTTCAAATTTAGAAATATTCTTTGTTCTCAGAAAAGGATGTTTGTTACACATCACGGTTTTTGACATGTAAATAACATGGCGAATACAAGAGAAGAGATGTAATGATGATGATAATAATGAATGATGATAATAATGAATGATGATAAGAAATTTCTTTTCAGAAAACGCGAAAAGCGAATATTCAATAAGGAATGTTCTTTTATAAATATAAATTGTAACGTAACATTATAAATTTTATATTCGTGTAATGAACAGTAATTGTTGAAATGTAATATTTATTATCAATAAAATAAAATAAAACATATTACCTGCACAATTTTTATAGAATGCTCTTTCGTTAGTATTATATTATCTGTAACAATAAATAGAAAGAAATAGAAAGAAGAGATAATAATGGTAACAATAAAAGCAGATGATAATACGTATGAAAGAAAAAAATATTCTAACTAAATAAGGATAAAATAATAACTTGAATTAATCATATTTATCTGTTACGATGATGAAAAAATTATGATTTTGACGCTTTATTATTGTATTATTGTCATATATAATATTGTTTTATACTTTATATGGATTACGGGAAGATTCCCCTGGAATGTGGAGGTCGTGTATTACTATTTATAGAAAGGTAGATCTAGATTCTGTCATATTAAATTGTACAAATATATATTATTTATATTATTTATTATTTATTATTATTACAAATTAAAAAGTTTATTTTTTTTTTTTTTTAAAAAAAAATACTATTTCTTATCTCTTATCTTTAATTTTTTTCCTTCCATTCTTGTTCATTTTTTCTATCTCGCGCTATCTTATCCATTATCATTAAAACTACTTTAAAACTCGTAAATGTATTTTATTTTGTATTTATATTTATTTTTTTATAAATATATCATTATTCAGATCAAAATTAATTCCTCAATTTTTTACTTCCAAAAAAAAAAAAAAAAAAAAATTATATTTACAAAAATCAAAAAGTTTCAAAAAAGGTTTATAGAAATCTTATAGAAATCTTATATGTATCCAGAAAATATTCCACGCCAATTTCTCATCAACGACAACAACAAAACTTTCATTCTTGTAAAAAACAACTTTTATCAAAAAATATTAACAACGTTACGAGCAAACATAAAAAAACAAAGAATATAATTAATTTAATTGCACAATGATAAAAATTGAATTGCACACTGATGAACTTTCTCAAGTTTTATGCATACTTGGTGGATTCATAATATGTTATGGTTTGGTATCTTATTTAATCAAAGAACGATTGTACTTATCTGAAGCTTGTAAGTTTGGTTACATTTTTTTGTGGGATCATTTCCTTATTTCCTTATTTGACAATCATGTGATATATGTGATATACAACGAATTAATTATTATATTATTAGTGGTATCAACAATTGTAGGGATAATTTTAGGTCCTGTAGCTTTACGTATCTTGAATCCTAGTGTATGGGGAAATCAAACTGAAATTACTCATGGATTTACGCGAATTGTTCTTGCCATTCAAGTTATGTTCTCTGGTGTAGCATTACCAAAGTATGTTATTTATAAATTATTTGAAAAATCTTTTTTTTTTTTTTGAAGTTTACTTAATATATATATATATATATGTATTATTTATTATTTATTTAATATGTTTATTTATTTATATTAGGGCATATCCAGTTAAAGAGTTCAAATCTCTTATGATTTTACTTTTTCCTGTATTGATTTCCTCATGGATTTTTAGTGGATTATTAATATGGTGGATAATTCCACAATTAACATTTGTAAGATTATTTTTAATCACTCTTGATATTATTGTCACGTTATTTCACTCAAGAATTTTGAATTTTCCTTGAATTTTATAGTTAGGATCACTGGCATTAGCAGCATGTATAACTCCTACTGACCCGGTAAATTGATTATTTATTATTATTATTCTATCCATTTGTAATTGATTCATCTAAATAAAAATTTTAATTTTCTTTCTTTTTTTTTTAGATTTTATCAAATTCAGTGGTTAAAGGAAAATTTGCAGAGGTAATGAGCGAACAACATTTACAAATGATTTTAATTTATATATTTTTTTTTAATTTTTGCAATAATTACGCTTATACAGAAACATGTTCCTCCTCATATTCGAAATTTACTTTCAGCTGAAAGGTATGAATAAATGAATTTTTATTTGTGTATCTCTTTTTACATTACTTTTTTTTATTTACTGTTTATTATATATTCTTTAATATCCTTTAATATTCTTTAATATTCTTTAATATTCTTTAATATTTTTTAATATTTAGTGGAGCAAATGATGGTAATTATCAAATTAGATGTCACAGTTACACAATTACACAATTATAATTATAAAATTATCAAAACTAAAATGAATTAAATATCAACAATTATGATATAAATTTAAAATCAGGTTGCGCAACTCCATTTTTATCTTTTGCATTTTACCTAATGGAGAGAGAATCTGTTGGTCCAATTATTGGAAAATGGATTTTAATTTCGTGGCTTTATGAAATTGGAGTTGCAATTGTTGTGGGAATTGTTGCCGTAAGTAATTAATTTTATATAATAAAAAAATAATTTATTTATATTTTATTTTAATTAATAATATCATTTATATAATTTAATTTAGGGATATATTGCAAGAAAGCTATTATATTATTCAGAACAAAAGTAAGCAAGCAATAATAATGATGATGATGATGATGATGATGAATTTATTAATTAATCATTTTTTCACTTTATTATCTTAGTCGATTAATAGATAAAGAATCATTTCTGGTGTTTGCCATAGCTTTAGCAGTATGTTTATGGTTATAAATATATTTTATATATTATACTTAATAATATGCAATACGTAATAATACACATTATTTTTTTTTAATAATAATAATAATAATAATAATAATAATAATAATAGTTATTCGTAATGGGATTTGTCGCAATGATTGGTTGTAATGATTTTTTAGCATGTTTTGTTGCTGGAACTTCTTTCACCTGGGAGTAAGTATTCGCAACATATTTTCACACGTGCATTCTTTCTCTTACATTATTCTTACACGCGTACTTTTTATACTTTTCATTAGTGATTGGTTTCGAACGGAAACAGAAGAAGCTCATTTACAAGAAGTCATTGATATGTTATTAAATTTAGCAGTATTTGTATTTATTGGATCAATTATTGAATGGAGATCATTTCATTTACAAATACACATTTGGAGATTACTTGTACTTTCATTATCGGTATTATTATTAAAGAGAATGCCAATAGTATTTTTATTTTCTAAAATTAAATTATTACCAGCAGTTAAAACTTGGCGTGAAGGTAAACAATAATAATTAATTTTATTTATTTATTTAATTATGAAATATATTTTAATTTATTCTTTTGATATTTTATTATTATTAGCTTTATTTACTGGATGGTTTGGTAAGATTTTTATTTTTTCATTTTAGAATATTTTTATATTTAAATTAATTCGTTTATTCTTTTGCGTACGTATGTTTAATAGGTCCCATAGGTGTTGGTAAATATTTATTTTATCTATTTAAATAATTTAAAAATTTAAATTTATATTTAAATAATTTAAGTTAATTAGATTTAATCAATTTTTTTCTAAAAAAAAATAAAATAAAAGGTGCAATATATTACGTAACAATAGTAGATAAAAAAACACCAAATAATACGGTTCTTCATGAAGTTGCTCAACCAAGTAATATGATTAACATATATATATATATTTTTTATTTATTATTAAAAATATTCTAATTTTAATTTTTATTTCATTATTTTTATTATTTTATTTAGTTATTTTCTTCCTAGTATTTAGTTCTATCTTGGTACATGGAATTACAGTTCGTAAGTCATTCATTAATATCGTATTTCTTTTTTTAGTATAATTCTTACTCCTTTGTATTGTATTCTCACTTCCATTCTCATTCTCATTCTCATTCTTTATTCATTTATTTTTTAGCTTTGATCAAGATTTCAAAAAGGTAAATATCATTTTTATACTGGATTACATTTATATTTGTTTATATCTTTTACTCATGTATATATTTAATATTTACATTTTAAATAAAATAGAATCAACACTCGAACCCTTACTATAAGTTCAATAAACAATCAAGTTTCAAGATTACAAATAATTAAATTTGGTCAAGATATAGTAATTGATAAGAGATCGAAAAAAACCAATGGAGATATTGTTAATAATGAAGGTGAAGGTAATAAAGATGAAGGTGATAATAAAGAAGATAATCAAGAAGAAGGAAGAGTAAGAATTGATATAACAAATCCCGAAGATAGAAATTCTCAAGAAATTGATATCACTGAACCAACATCATCATCATCGACTTCACAACCACCAATTAAAAGAGGATCAATGAGTTCAAAGTATGCAATTTGGGATGAAGGAGATAATTATATTATTGAAAATTATGAAGGTGAAGATATTAGAGTTGTACCTTCATCGTCGGTATCGTATAAATTTTAAATAATTGATTGTAACAGATAATAATAGTATTAAAATCGGACGACATTAGATAACATCAGATATAAATGAATTTGTATCCTTTAACATTTCTTGATGTTTTGAACATTATATAAGTATACAAATTATCTATTATAGTATATGGTGCATGTGAAAGGTTTTTGCGTATAACTTATACTCTACTCAAACAGTTAAATTAATCAGATTAAATTTTAGATGGCAAAAGAAAGTAGATACTCTCTTAAAAATTTGTATTTTATAAAAAAAAATAACATTCAATAATCATTGATAACATTTTGATTAAAATTTCTTTATTATTAAAAGTGAATAAAATTATAATAACAAATATAATAAACCTAATTTTATTAATATTATTAATATAACATATAAATATTAATATTATGTTGCAAAGAATTAGATTAACAATTCAAATGAGCATTATCACACCCAATAACAATTTTGTTAAAGTTAGATGAAAGGTTTTACATCTTTGAGTAGGACTGTATTTTGTACTTGGGGAAATGTAGGTCTTAGAAGCTCTGTTTAGAATAAATTGCACAAACACATGAAAATGTAAATTGCAACGAAAATAAAGAATTCGTAAAATGATGAATTTATAATATTTGTAATTCATGGTCGCGAATTGTTCAAATCTTTGAAGTTTTGTTTAATCCGTTAAAAAGGAAAATTAGAAATAAAAAAAAATACATTTAAAATTATAAAAAAATTATGGAATTTTTATGATTCGAAAGCCTAAACATATTTCATATTACCTAAACGTATTATTGTTTTTAAATATAGTAAAATATGGTCAAAATTATCCCAATATGAAATGAATTATTATAAAAGAAACGAGAATTCTTCTTTATTCATTAATTATAGATTTTAAGAACTCGGACCAAAATAATTCTGGTTTAATAGATGGCCATTGAAAAACAATCGATAACCAGCCCTACTTTGTTTATTTATTTTCTCATGCTCCAGTCGAGGATGCGGTAGTGCCGTACATCAAGAATCTGCCAAGTTTATACCCCTAACTTTTCACAGTAATTAATTTATAGATTAGATTAGATAAAAATGCGAGATTAAAAGATTTTGTGAAATTTTTAATAATAAACAATAAACAAATATTTACACTTTATTATAAGTTTATTATTAAATACGAATAAAATTTTAATTATAATAAAAAACTCACTTTTGTTTAGGGGTTGGAACCGGGTCCCTTTGAGAAAACCAAATATGGATGATTTTAAAATCGGATATCCGGGTGAAAACGGATGATTTTCTAAAAAAAATTCCATCCGATTTCACCCGGATTTGTATAATCCGGTTTCACCCGGATACCGCTGGTGACCCTGGTTTAAACTTTCGAAACCTAATCAGGGACTATGGTTTTATGCAATCACATTAAATGAATAATTTTGCATAAAACAATTTTATCACATCATAAAATTGCATAATTTATAATTCTCTATAGTCTATCACATAATCCACAGTATGATGTTTAATTGTTATTGATTATAATTGATTTATAAATCCTTTTTCCTTTTTTTTGTGATGTCACCAAAAAAAACTCAAAGCTATACCAGTTCACAGCAGATGTAAAGAATATGGCAATATTTTTCGTGTTGATGATAATATACTTTTTTTGTAACTACTGCAATACTTCTGTAGAGTGGAAGCAAAAATCAGTTGTAGATAACCATTGTAAAAGTCAAAAACATATTTCAAATGTGAATAGTCATAACAATAAGGAAAAAATAAAACACAACTTACTCTTTCTACTACCCAAACTGCAGCTGATTTAAAAAAACAAGTTATTTAAGATCTCTTAGAAGCATTTATAGTAGCAGATATTCCTCTTGAAAAAGTTAATAGACTAATTCCATTTTTTAAAAAGTATCTCAAAAATGGTGGTTCAATTTCTTAGGCCCCAACACTTCGTCAAATTTATTTACCTAATGTTTTGATAAACATTATCAATTTTTAAAGTTATTATTTGATTCTAAACCAGTGGCTATAATTATGGATGAAACTACAGATGATTGTGCAAGAAGCATTGTTAACACTATTTTTACTTATCATGACAAAACAAAACTAGTATCCATAGATTTTCTTGAATGAGTTAACAATACTACCATAGGACAAACTCTTATAACTATTCTTACAAATTTCAATATATCCTTTAATTTACCACGATTGTTTCTTTCTGATTCAGCTGCCTATATGAAGAAATGTCATTGGGAAATTTTATTACCATTAATGCCTCAATTAACTCATGTTTCATGTTGTGCACATATTTTAAATCTTATTGGATACAAATTTATTTATTTATTTATCTAATTTATTTATTTAAATTTTTTAAATTAATTTTTATTCTTAATTTAATATAAAAATTATATTTTAGAGATACTTGGAGAACATTTCCACATTTTAAAATGTTAAAGAATCTCCTGGAAAAAATTAAAGAAGTTTTTGTTTATTCTCCCGCTCGGCAACAAAATGTATGGGATTTTTTCTCCTTGTAAAATTCCTTTATACAACAAAACCCACTGAAATTCCTGGTTTAAGATGGTATTTTATGCAAAAGATCATATAGTTTATTGGCCTACCTTTTTAAAAAAGAAGCTGAAAATGATAAAAAACATAATGATCTGGAGGTTATCAATTCTCATTTATAGAATGAACAAGAGTTTGGTGTTATTATCATTTATCTTAATTTTATTTCAATTTATGCAAAAGAATTTGTTCAAGACTTAGATTTTTTTCAACAATCAAAAAAGCCTATTTTTTCATTAGTGGAATCACGACTTCAACAACTTACTTCATATATTGAAACAAATAGAAATGCAAATTATTTTGGTCCATTATTAGAAAACTTAATTACAAGTTTAAAATTTAATGTAGAAGAATTTTATATTATTTTTAGAGAAGCTTTTGAAGTAGCTTGTCAAAAATTTAAAGTACACATTTCTAATCATCCATCCCATTTACTTTTTCATGCAAGTCAAGTTTTTGATCCAAAATATATTCATATAGGAGATATTTTACAAAAGGATATTATAAGATATAATATTATTAAAGAATTTGATAATCCATCAGATGAGTTATTACAAGAATGGGAAATTTATTGTGAATTAAATAATGAAATAATTAATGAAATCAAATTAGATCAATATTGATTAAGTAAGGCAATACAATTACCAATTCTTTTTAAAATAGCTTTTGATCACCAATATCAAGTTGTAGTGTAGAATGAAGTTTTTCAATGTATAATTCTTTATTAGATAGTGTTCGTCAAAATTTATCTTTGGATTCTCTTAAAAGATTAAATATGTTATATTTAAATGACTTTTAATATAAAATTTAATAAAGAATAGTTTATTTTTTTTGTTCTATTTTTATTTCGTATTAAATTGAATTTACTATAAAATTTATAAATAATATCACATTTTAGTATAAAACTAATAAATAATATCATTTTGTCACCGCATAATTTCATCGTCCCTGTGTAGCTCTATATTATAATATAACGAAGTATTATTCTTTTTTTTTTGCCAATTTTTATAATATTTATAAATCAATTGTTTGCACAATTAACAATGATTTAACAATGAAACGATTATACACAACAATTCTTCCAAAGAATTGCTTTCGGGAGGGATAAATTATAGTTGAGCGTTGCACAGTAATAAACTAGTCGTAGGATTTTTAACATGTATAAAGCGTATAAGAATTTCCGTACAAAAAGGAGGTAATAAAGCAAGTTATAATAATGTAAATAATGAGTTTGTAATACATGGTCACGAATCGTTGTAGTTTGTTTAGAAAAAAAAATTTTTTTATAGGAAACAAAAGAAATAAAAACTATAAAAAATCAGACCTTGATTTCTTTAAACACTTTAATTTTATGCTATGCTCGTCAAAATGTATTGTTTCAGATAATATTGTTGACTTATTGTTTTTATATTTGCCGGAAATATAATTGCCGAAACCGAAAATATTTTCGGCTGCCTTAATTATTTGGATGCCTTAACTATTTTCGGTTCCCATAATTATTTTCGGCTGCCTTAATTATTCTATATGCCGAAATTATTTGCTGACAATAAAAGTTTTCAAAATTTTTTTGTGCATTTTTTACATTTTTTTTTTTTGAATTTGCTCGCGATTTATGAAACATACAGCAATTTCCTACTAATGCATTTCTATAATAAATCGAGAGGTCTTGTTCTTGGCTACAAAATGGTATATTTTTCATCTCTGTGGTGTCGATATTCCACGGATTTTTTACTTTAAACTGTAATAATTCGATGAATATCGAATGAAATGTATACCATTTTGTAGCCAAGAACAATGTCTTTCGATCTATTATAGAAATATTTTAGTAGAAAATCGTGAGCGAATTCAAAAAAAAATGTTAAAAACGCACAAAAAAACATTTTGAAAACTTTTGTTGGCAGCAAAATAATTTCGGCATATAAAATAATTATGGCAACCGAAAATATTTTCGACATTTTCAGTTTTGAAAGTATATGCTGAAAAGACATTTTGACGTGCCGTAATGCCGTAATTCTGGCTAATTTCGGCAACATCTATAATGTGGAATACTAAGGATGATAGAAATATTTAGATATGGTAATTTCTTTTGATATTTCTTGAGATTTAAGACTTTAAATTATTTTCTGAAAGAAAGAATTCAATTACTATCGTTGCCTTATTATTTCCCCTTTAGAAGCTATTAAAAACAACGAAATTCTTTTTATGATTCTTATTTTAAAACAACTGAAATTCTTTTTATAATTCTTATTTTATTTGCATAACAATAACCAAAAAAAGTTTATTTCCTCATTATTTTTCGTTGGTTTGTATTTTCCATTTATGCAGAGAATGAAAATTTTTATCAAAAGTTGAACTTTAAATTTATTTATATTTTATAAAAAGTTTGCATGTTGAATTTATATATAGATTAAAGGTTATAATAAAAAAAAATAAACTTTTAGTCAATAATTATGTACGTTTTATGAGAAGTCCAAACATCTTATGTGTTCAAACATCTTATGTGTTGATCTTGGTTATCAATTTTTATCGTGTCGCCCATTTCGAAAAGACCAAACCATTTGTGAAGTTTTGAGGAAATTCGGGGGGTGTCTATTTTCTATTATCCCAATTTATAGTTCCTTGTGCTTAAATACCAGCGGTTATGTGTCTATATGAATGAACTTACTTTATTTAATTTTTTAAATAAAAACGTTTTCCATTTTTGGTTTAATCATTCTATTGTCATCACATGTGCATTCAATTTTTATTTTAGAGATTTCTTTAAATTACTAATTTTATACTAAATCTTATTTTAGATATTTCCTTAATTTTAAACCAATATCCTGTTTTAGAAATTTCTTTAAATCCTAATTTTATTAAAAATTTGGTTAGAATGGTTAATATTAAGAAAGATAAAAAGATATTATATATAACATGCGAATATCGTAAAAGTAAACGTAAAATTAAAATAACCTTATCATATTATTATCCTATTATTATTTTTACATAAGAAAAAAAGAATAAAAAAATCATGTCTACAACAACTAGCAATGACGATAATAATAATGAAAAAAATTTTGTAATAAAAGAAGGAAATGACTCATACAATTGTTGTGACAATAATTCATATGTTAACAGTGAGAAAAATATTGATGATGATGATGAACTTCCTCGAGTTCAAATGTCTAAAATTAAATTAGATATATTATTTTCTGGGTAATTAATATATATATATTTATATATACAATTCACTCTTTCAATTCTCTCGCTTCTTAATCTTAAGCAATAACTTTAAATAATAACTTTGAAAATTGATTTACGACATAGACTTTTATTCGGAGTATTATTATCATCATTAAATATGACTATTGTCGCTACAGCTATGTAATTATCTTTCTTATTATTGATATTGTTATTGCCTTTTATTGAAATTATTATTATTAACTTTGTATGTATTTAATATGTTATTTTCCAGACCAGCTATATTTAATCAATTTGGATCAATTGAAAAGACCGCCTGGGTCGCAATTGCCGATTTATTCACAGCCGTAATTTGATTCTTCAATTAAGATTCTTTAATTTTTCATCTTTCATTTAATTCGATTTATTCTCTAACTAATAAAATTTATAAAAAAAAAATAAATAGACAGCTTTTCAACCAACTTATGGAAATTTTGCAGATATTTTTGGTAGAAAAGTCACTGTATTATCATCATTATTAATTTTCGGAATAGGATCTGCATTATCCGGCGCATCGTCTAGTATAGTAATTATCATTATTTATTATATAAAGTAATTGTCATTATTATATAAAGTAATTACGTTCATTCGTCATTCATTAATTTTTAATTTTATTTCATTTAGAATATGTTGATTGCATCTAGAGCAATTACAGGTATTGGTGCAGGAGGATTTATTGGGTATGTATTTTTTTTAAAATCCTAAAAGATATTAATCTTTCTTTCTTTCATGTCCGCTCATATTTTAAGTGATTTACTTTCTTTTTAGTTTGACAAGTATTATAATAGCAGATATTGTGAGTCTCAAAAATCGAGGAAAATATATGGGATTCGCTGGAGGAGTTTATGCCATAGGATCAATATTAGGACCACTTCTAGGTGGACTTTTTTCAGATCGTCTTTCTTGGAGGTGAAATAATTTTCATTTGCTAATAATTGCGATTATTTACATTATTTTCTTTATATTTTCTTTATATTTTCTTTATATTTTCTTTATTGTTACAGATGGATATTTTATATTAATCTACCACTTGGAGCTTTAATAACTATTTTTATAATCCTTTTACTAAACATACCTTCTCCCCCAGGATCTTTAAAAGACAAACTTAAAAGAGTTGATTGGTTGGGAACATTATTAATGGCTATTTCAGCAATTTCATTATTATTACCTTTACAATATGGTGGAATTGAACATTCTTGGAATTCGCCACTGATCATAATATTATTTATTTTGGGAGGTTTGGGATTTATAGCGTTTGTTTATGTCGAAACTTTTATTTCCATTGAACCAATTGCTCCTGGTATGAATTATATTATATCATTATTATTATCATTATCGTTTAAAATTTTTTTATAAATTATTATTTTTTTTTTTTATTACTTTCAGTCAAATTATTTAAAGATCGAACAATTGTCGCATGTTTTGCTTTAAACTTTTTCTATAGCATAGGTCTATATGAAAATATATTTTATGTTCCATTGTTCTTTCAAATTGTTGATGGTGATTCAGGTAAATATATTACTCCTTATATTGCATTGTATTATATTAAACTTTAAATTATTACTCAATATATTAAACTTTATATTAAACTTTTATTATTTAATATAATAAAAACTTTAAATTATATTATATTTAAAAAAATTTTTTAGCCACAAAGTCTGGTACTAAATTACTTGCATATGTTTTGGGAGCAGTTGTCTCTGCTGTAATAACTGGTCAAATACTATCCCGTGCATCAGGTTATTCATATAAAATAATATGTGTAATGGGTGGAGCTTTAATGACTATTGGAGGAGGATTAACTTTCGGTTTTAATGAAAATACAAATTCAAGAGAACAAATTGGATATCTTTTAATTTCTGGGTTAGGTGCTGGATCAGTTTTTCAAACTGGTTTATTAGCAGCGCAGGCCATGGTTAAGCTAGAAGATATTGCTACAGTTACTTCTTTGGTATGTTTATTTATTTATTACAATCCATTATATGTGCATATTTTTATATATCTATTAAAAAATTTAATGTTTACCAAATTTTTTTTTTAAAATAATATTAGATAACATTCTTTAGATCACGTAAGTAATAATTTTTTATATTTTTTTATATTTTATAAATTTTATATATTTACTATATTTACTATCATTTTTTTTCTATTCCAGTGGGATCAGTAATAGGACTATCAATATTTTCTTCAATCTTCAATAACTTTTTAATTAAAAATACTCTTGAAACATTTCCTGGTTTTAAAATTGATCAGTTCAAAGGAGATCTTAACACATTTAAAGCTTTACCAAACACAATTAAATCACCTATATTAGGTATATTCGTAAAATCTTTTCAAAATGTATTTTTAGTAGGTCTTATAGCTGGTGGTTTATTACTTTTTAGTTCTTTATTTATGAAAAATTATATTAGAAATGGTAGAGAAAAGATTAGTAAATAACAGAATCTATTTGATTATTAATATTTTAACTCTTATTTAATTATTCTATTGATAAGATTTTTTTTTCTCTAATCCAATAAACTTTATTAATGTTTATTATTTGGCAAGATTATTTTAATAACATCATATGTTTAATATTAAATAATAATAAAAATTCAAAATATAGATTTTACTTATCTACATTCCGTATTCTCAAGATTTTATCTAAATATAATACTACATTATAATAGAATATACTTGGAAAACTCAATATAAAAATAAAAGTAATAAAAGTGAAAATTTTTTTTTGATATTTTTATTGATGTCAAGAAAAATAGAATAATTTATTAATAAATTCATAAGAAAGAAATATGCAATAATTTATATCACTATCGTTACATTATTACATTACAAGTCTAAATAAATTATCAAACTGAAAAGTTTTTTTTTTTAATGTTGATAAAGGAGAAAAATTTAAAAATTTGACTATTTTCTTCATTTAACTTTTAATATAAATTTCCATCATATTCTTGGTTGACATTTTTGTGAATATGCTTTTTTTGTATAATTAAAATGTTAAAAGTTCCAAAGACAACTTTATATATTTGACTGTATGCTTTTTTTAAACAGTTCTTTCGTAATAAATTACTTCAAATATTTTTTCATTTTATAACTTTCGAAATAAAGAAATAAAAATTTATCTTATAATTTTATTAAACAAAGAAATAAATAAAACAAAGATACAGTATATCAATTTGCATATTTATTTCTATAAGAAAAAAATTTGTCTTCCGCTTTTCCAATAATAATAATAATAATTTTTATGCGATTTAACGTTACTTACAATAAAGAATATTCACCGATCTATTTAAATTACAATAAAGAATATGCTTAAAATAATCGTTGATATTATCATCGTCGGGTCCATACAAGAATAACGGAACAAGAAACAACCGCAACAGCAAAGAATCATAATAAACAGCTCCTAGTAAAAAAATATCTAATCAAAATTTTCTTTCATTGCTTTATTTTTATTTTATTGTAAGATCATTATGAATACCAGAAATTGCTCTCAGTTTTAAATATAAATTTTACTTTAAAAAGGTTAATGATAAATTTCTTAATGATTACAATTAACTTCTACTTTTAATGGAATCAATTATTTCATCAAAGCTGATATATAGATAAAAAAGATTAATATATATAGAGACAAACAAGACAAATTAAATATTTTCATGCGAAAATTCTTATAGTCCTTAAAATCTGAAAAATAAAATAAATACATTTCAACATAATTTTTTTTTTTTTTTGAATTTCAAAAAAATGAAATTCGACAAAGAAACTCAAAGAACTTTCAAATGTTATCAGGATGAAGTAATATCTACTTCTCCCCCTCGTTCAACCCTAACATATGTGTGTGAAATATTTGTTCACCTTTTCTATACATTTTTAACTGACTGGACAATGCCAATTACTCGACCAATTAATTTTTTTTCACATTTTTTATCCTGCTGCTATTTCTATCATTTTGGTTATGGGTTTTGGAATAAGAATAATTAATTACTTTGGTTTGTTTGATTATATCAATTGGTTCGACAACAATGGATGGGGTGGCTATAATGGTGAAAACTTAAGTATGAATCTTTAAAGTTTTATAATATTTTATAATGAGTCCGTTTTTTAGATTAACCTGTTAACGGAACAAATTAGAGAAAACAGTATGAACGTATTGGGATCTCCAGTTCCAAATCCGCCTCAACCTATTCCTTTCAATATTGACTTGGTCGAAACTCTATTATTCTTCAGCTCCGTTGTATATTATCGTGGAAACCCGAATTACAATAAAATGACTGATACGACGAAGTCAACAATAATAGAACGCCGAAACGACGCAGAAAAGACAATTGTTGAAATAATTCGTCCTTGGGAATAAAATTTCACTCTTTCGGTGAATTAAGCTCGACTGAAAATATATTTGCTGGACTATTTTGGTCCCATGAAA